GTCTGCCTCCCCTCTCCAGGACTCTGGGCTCTGTGACCACCTGGCCACTAGAATTCGGCCAAAGAATGGGCCTGTTTCTGGGCCCCAGTTTTAAGAGCCTGGCAGTTTCCACGTCCTGCCCGGGGTCATTTGCTCCAGGAACCTGGCCACCGGGCTGGGAGGAAGCCCAGGCCCCTCCACGGGGGGGCTCACGGAAAGAACCCCACGGCTGGTACCCGCTGGCCACCCGTCTGCGAAGTGTGCTCTCCGGTGCCAGCTGGTGCTGCGTGGGCAGAGGAGAGCTCCCCCCACCCCCCAAGCCCAGGCCCAACTGCAGACCTGTGAGCAAAATGAATGGCTGGTGTTGTTTGAAGCCACTGAGTTTTGGGGTGCTTTATGGCACAGCAAGAGATCACTAGGACAGTGGGAGGTCAGTGACTGGCCAGTCAACGCTTTTGAAAGCCGGGAATCTACGCGATCGTCTATAATTATGGTTGTGGGGAGGTTTAGTGGCCGGGCACGGAAAGGGCTTTGCCATGAAGTTCCTAACAGGCCATTTCCCTGCCCCTTGTGTGGGGTCAGCTACGTAACTTGTGGGACCCAGTGACAAATGAAAACTCGGGGCCCCCTGTTCAGAAGGCACTGGTGACTCTCCAGACGGCGACAGCAGAGCGTTCCACCAGGCTCAGCCGTTCTACGCAGGGGCCCTGTGGGACCCCCGGGCCGTGTGGCCGGGGGGCTGCAGAGGTCCTGCTTCTTGTCTCTTCTTGTCTGTCCAACCGAGGAGACCGCTTTGGCTCTGGCCAAGCTGCCATATAAATGAGAACCTGACACTCTCACCGCAGTTGCTTTTACTTGAACACCCATTTTTTCATTGATTCCAGAGAGAAGGGAAGGGAAGGAGAAAGCGAGGGAGAGAAACATCAATGCGAGAGACAAACATCCATTGGTTGCCTCCAGCACGAGCCCTGACCGGAGACTGAACCTGCGACCTGGGCATGTGCCCTGACCGGGAATAGAACCCGCGACCTTTCAGTTTGCAGGATGATGCCTAACCAGCTGAGACACTCCAGCCAGAGTCAAATTACTTTTTTTTTTTAAAGGGAGATTGAAAACCAGCAACTAATCTTTACTGTTCTTTTAGACTGGACTGCAATTCCCCCACCCCAGCCCCAACACACACAGCAAGGGACCAAACGTATCAAGCCGGGACCTTAGGCAAACCCCTTCACCTCCACGGGGCTCAGTTTTCCCATCTGTTCAATGGGGAGGCTTATTCGTGCCCCGTCTTCCATGGATCTCGGCACGGGGCACAGAGCGGGTGAAAGGAGCTACTGAAAGTGCCAAAGGCGACCCGGTGGCCGGCCAGTCCCCAGGGGAGGCCTCTGTCCTGCCCAGCCTCCCAGAGCCCGGGTCCCCTCCCACCCCGACCGCCGCCTCAGGCCACCTTCCAGGAGTGAGCTCTGCGTCAGGGGAATCGGGAAGCAATCCGGGCTGCCGCTTGGTCTCAAGCAGGTTACCCAGCCTCTGGGAACCGTCCCTCCTTCCCCATAAAACAAGCAACCAAGGAACCTCCCCGTCCCCCAGCTGTGATGACATGGAGGTAAAGAGAAATGTGTCTGGAGGGCACAGCACCAGCTGACCACTGTGACAGAAATGCAGCCCCGACCACAGAGGCGGCCTGGCTGCATGGGCACAGGGCTCATTTAGAACCACAGAGTGGTGGGGGGGCTTCAGCCCCAGCTCTAGCACTGCCTGGCTGTGCGGCGGGGGGGTTGGCTGCTCGCTACTCCTCTCTCGGGCTCGATGAGTCAACGGCGGTGCCGACCCCCCGCCCACCTGCCGCCGTGCTCACGAAGCCCAAGCACCAAAAGAACGTGGAAAGCCTTGGGCAGACTTGAAAGCTCTTCAAACGCTGCTTATTATGGCGACTGTCACTGACTGAACAGGGGCCATGCCTGGCTCCAGGTCAAGCACTTCACCCGTGACCCCCAACCACCTTTCAGAGCAATGATTGCCCACACCCTGCAGGTCAGGAAACCAAAGCTGAAGGCCCTCGAGGGCTGTGCTGGAGGCCACGCGGCTGAGAACCCCTCGACCGGAGGCCGCGCCCTGAAGGCCCGCTGGGACACGGGAGGAAAGCGCAGGCCGTGATGTTAAGGTGACCCACGCCCCGAGCCAAAACACAAACAGGGGCCTGTGGCCTTCCCAGGATTTTTCGGTTTAGTTTTTACTCTTCTGGAAGACACCCAAAGAAAGAGGAACCTCGGCTGCCAGCCTCCCGCCGTGACCGAGCGGCCAGGACCCAGAGCTGCGATGTTAATTAGCCGGGAATGTGGCCTCAGCCTTGCCCTTTCTGAGAAACCTCCGACCGGTTCCTGGCCACCGGCAGCCTCTGCCTTTGTCCCCCACTTCCCCCTGAACTGGGTTAAAACAACCTTTGCTGCTCCTGCTACCACCTTTCACACCCGGCGCTGAGAGAATGGCAGGATGTTTATTGTTCTAAAGGAGGGAAATAGAAATAACCAGAGTCTGATGTTCTGAGGATAAAGTCAGAGTGTCTCGCAATGGCCCGCCAGGCCCTCCTTGACCTGGCCCTGCTGGCTGCCCACTCGCTGTGCTTCACCAGGGGAGCTTCTTGAACCCCAAGGCCAGGGGCATTCCCACCTCAGCGCCTTTGGGGAAGTGGTTCCGACTCCCCCGAATGCTCAGCTGCCAGGGCCTCACCTCGCCTCACCCACTTGGTATGTCACTCAGGTGGAACGCAAAGGACACCTCCTCCAAGAAGCCTTCCTAGACCACCTGGCTAGAACTACCCCTGCCCTCCAGACACTGCTATGGTGCCCTGACTGGGGCCTCCCCTAGCACACAGTGTGGTCGCCTCTGGTATGACCTCGCTCACAGGTTTGGTTCTGCACCACCGTGGGTCTCATTCAGGGGACACACGAGAGAAAGTCCATCTCAGCGCCATGCACCCTCTGCAGCTGGACTGGGCCTGACCCACCACAGGTGTCACTGGAAGGGGGAGGGGAGGAAGGAAGATTTTGAACAGCCATGCAGTGCGGTCTGGGATGCCCTGGGACCGAGAGCAGGATGTCCCCTGCAGAGGGGCCACGACGCTTCACAGATGCCCGCAGTTGCAGGCAGCCGGCCGACTGACAGCCAGTCTTCTGACTGGGAGTGGGGGGCTCTCTGGGTCCCCCCACAGAGCGAGAGGGGGCCTGTCCACCGTGAGGTTCCCACAGCAACCTGGCCCCAAGGGAGGCCAGGCCCCCGGAGATCCCGAAAGCCCTGGTTCACCTTATCAGCGCTAACACGGGCTTTGGGGGGCCGGCTCAGAACCAAACATCAATTATTTTCTGGGGGAAAAGTGTTCTAAGCCCAACGCCCTTCTGAAAGTTACCTGTTTGGAAGTCAGAGGGGCCGAATTCTGCAGGCCCAGGAAGGGCCCCCTCATGGCAAGTGGCCACGGATTGGACCGAGGATGGAAGCCGCCATACGGCAAACACGAGCCACGTGTCAGGTGACGCCTCCCGTTGCTCTGCAATCTCCTGACTCCCTGGAGAGTCAGGGTCTTGCTCCATCTGAGGGACGGGCCCTGGCCTTAGAGACTCTAAGAACCTAGAGCAGTTTCCCGCCGGTGAGACAGACGGTCTTGGGAAACAGCGGGTTTTCTCCAAATGCAATAGCTTCCGCAGAACGCCCGTTGCTCCCCGCCACCCTCTGACTGCAGCTCTTCGGGAAGGGGGCTGTGCATGTACCAGAGACGGTCCCCTACACCCTGGGAACCGCCCCCCTGAGCAGCAGGGCCCTGTCCATCTGTCCATCTGTCCATCTGAACAGCCAGAGGTTAAGAAGCACCGCCCCCCCTCACCCCCGTTACTGGTGAGGCAGGGACATTTGCCCTGGCTCTCCCACCAGCCATTTCAATGCGTTTCAATGGCGAGGTCTGGGTGGGGGCTGGAGTCCTGGGGGTGGGGTGGGGTGGGCACGGTCTGACTGAGGCAGGAAAGTGAAAAGCTGGGGAAATACCCTGACCAGTGGAATAAGGGAAACTGAGACCAAATAATTAAACAAGGCCGAACAATTTGAGCAATTTACAGCCGGCTAAGGAGTCACGAGACCCTACCTAACCAAGGACACGGGAGCAAACGGTTTACCCGTTCCAGAGCGTCCAGGGACAGGCCAGCCTCAGTCCTGGTCCCCCTTCGGCAATGTTCTTTAAAAATAAAACCAACCCAAAAATAATCCCCAACCCCCCATATAGGTACATTTTTGACGAGTCAGCCTATGGAAGGAGCCGCCCCCAAGACCTCCCCTAGGATCCCCGCCACCAAAGAAAGATAAAAAGCCTCAAGACGTAGGACCCTCACAAGCACCCCCTGGAGCCCGCGCCCACGCCTCGGGTCTCCGCTTTCTCCTGAACTCGAAGGGAGCCCACGAGACCTGCAGCCAGGGGAGCAGTGGGCAGCGGCAGCTCGTCCGGGCTGCCCCCTCCCCCCGATCCGGCCTCCGAGGCTCCCCTTTCCTCTTTCTTTCCCCTGTTGCTCCTTCTGCCTTTCGCGCTTCCTTGTTTCACTGCCCCCAGCTGTAGTAAACGTACTCTCAAAATCACCTGGACGCGTGCAGTGAAATCTGTCCTACGCGAAATCAAGAACCCACAGGCTATCATCGGCTGGCCCGAGGCAGCCCCGGTACAGGCCCGGTCCCCGTCCAGTCACATGACCATGGCCCCAGGTCTCCTTCCTTCACCCCACAGGGCAGGCAGCCACAGTCCCGGCTGTCTGCCTGGGGTGGGAGCGGGCCTCAAACTGACCCCCCTCCCTCAAGCTAGGACCACAAAGGCAAGCTGGGCTCCCCCCAGCTCAAGCACAAAGCCTAGACCCCCATGCACCCCTTGGTCCTCGCCCCATCACCCCCAGGCTAGGGCATACCCTCTGCTTTTGCGACTCCTTTTCCCCATGTGCCGTGGGGCTGCTTGGCACAGCCCTTTCTGCAAACACCCAGAGGGAGCCCGGTGTACAGCAGCTTTATTCTGAGAGTCCCCGGAGGCAGGCCCGGACCAGGCAGCAGGAGTTACACGGAGGAAGGGTCCTGGGCAGAGGGGTGGAGAGGGATCCCAAGAGGTCCTCCAAGACTCTCAGCCCCAGTGCAAGTTTCCTCAGCCTTACGATCATTTTCAAGGATCAGACGGTTCTGGGAAGGGCTCCCGGGCGAGGGAGCGCGTCCTTTCATTACGCATGTGTCAATAGCCTCACGCCAAGGCTGCCGAGCCCCTGCCCACTGGGCGTGTGGCGTCCTCTTCCACGCTGCACAGCTGCCCACACGGGCATTTGGGCAAGTATCAGACGTCCCACAGAAACTTCTTCAGGTCCCGGTGTCCCAGCCTCTCCAACTTTCCCCAAAACATCTGAGTGGTTTCAGAAACTACCCTGGGACGCCTGACCCAGCCCCAACTTCCTCCAGAGAGGAGCGGGCTGGTGAGTAAACAGCACTTGGGGGCCTGGCTTCCAGCGGGTAATTCCAGGAGTCTCCCTGCAACCTGAGTCCCAGGCTGCTGCAGTCATTGTCAAGGCCACGGGTCTGTTTACACGCGTCTGAAAGCCCCTAGGAGAACCGAGGGGAGGAGAGCCGCTGGCTAATGGAGGGATTATTCTCTAGTGTGAAAAGCAAAAATCCAGAAAGGCAGATTAAACCAAGCAAAACCCTTCGCCACTCCACCCCCACAGTCCAGGAGAAGGCGGAACGTGGTTTTGGACGTGCACGTTCCCACCCCGGGGTGCGGAGCGACGGCAGAGAGAGGCAGACCAGGCACCCTCAAGAGTCTGCGCGCGCGGCGCATCTAGGGTGGTGCCCAGAGCGGGTGGTGCCTGCCGGGCAGGCCAGGGCCCAGAGGGGCGCGCAGGTCCTCGTCTGTGGGTGCGGCGAGCTCCTGAGCAAAGCAGAGTGGGCCCTTCTCCGGGTGGCAGCTAGGTGGGCAGCGTCTTTGACGGGGGCGGAGGCCACAGCTGCTGAGGGTCCTGAGATGCCTCCCGATGGGAGGACCCACTGGGAGGGACATTCTGAGATGAGCGAGTGGATCCTAGGCCGTGGCCCACCCGCTGTGGGGCTACAGAGGAGGACGGAGGAGGGGGGTGAGGGGGAGAGGTGGCACCAGGAGGGTCCCACTCAGCCCAAGCAGCGTTGGAGGCCTGGCCGGGCACTCCCCCGGGCACAGGGCAGAAACGGCGGCTGTGGCCGAGACGGGCCAGCCCACAGAGCCCTAGCCCTCCATCTGGACTGAGGAGAAACCACAGGCGCTGGCTCAGTGCCCGAGGGGGCCGTGTTAACAGTCACTGGGGTTGTCGGCACGGTAGCAGGGCCCCGTAGGTATCACTCCTGAGGCCCAGGGCGAGGGTGTGGGCCTCACGGCCTCTGCCGCAGGTGGGCTCCAGCCCTGGGGGGTGGGTCCAATGCCCAGGGCCCTGGGCCATCTGTCTGTTGCTCCAGCAAACATCGCCATTGCGATTCGGCACCTGGTTGTCTGGGCTGCACACTCCATAGCCCTAGAGTAGGGGGTGCAGGGTGGCTGGGTGGGGGCATGGGTAGAGACCAGCAGACCCCCTTCTGCATGGGCTGGCTGGTCGCCACTGGGTGCTGGACACTCGGTTCAGCCCCCTTGACCGTCGGCCCGGTCCACCCTCGCCGCCCTGGCTCCCAGGGAGCACCCCGAGGTGCTCTCGGCCCCAGCCCGGGCCGGGCCTCATTTCCCAGAGGCAGCCGTGGGCGAGGGGTCCTCCTTCCCTTGCTCCTCCACTGAGAACATGACATCTCTGCAGCTGCTCAGAGGGGGCTCCGTCTCCTGCTCCGGGTAGTGTGCATGGTCCACTTCCAGACCCTCCTCCAGCTCGGGCCCCGCCGGCCCCGCCGGGCCCCGGCCCTCGGGCGCCTCCGTCTTCACTGTCCCCACAATCACCGTGTCAGCCTTCATGATGTAGATCTTCTCTGCAAAGCGACAGGGTGGGCGCGGTGAGCAGGCCAGAGCCCCAGAGGGGGGGTCCCCCTCCCAGCTCTGCCCCACCCCCCCACTGTGTGGCCTCAGGCAGATGACACAACCCCTCTGGGGTACAGGAAGCCCAGCCAGCCATGGGGACGGGGTAGGGAAGGAGAGAACGGGGTTGGGAGAGGAAGCAAGTCGAATCCAGAACAGTGGCACCGTCCAATGTCAGCTGTGATGGGAAAATAAAAGTGAAACTAACAAAGATAACGGCAGCACCCGGGGGCTCACAGGCAGGGCGGCCTGTGCCGGGCGCCACTCGGGACACCTTCCGCACCTGAGCTCCAGAACCCTCGCGTCCCTTTCGCCAGGTGGACAGTCTGTCATTGCCCTACCTACAGATAAAGAACCTGAAGCCCACACAGGTTGAATGGCCTGCCCGCAGTCACCAGGTAATTAGCAGAAACCCCCGAAGAAACGTCAGGTTTGCTGCCCTTCCTGCTCCTGTCCTGGTGCCTGCAGCGGAAACCCGGGCTGACCGGCGTGTCCCGGTTTGGCCAGGATGCTCCTGGTTTTAGCCGTGGAAGTCCCCCGTCCCAGGGACCAGCAACCCTGGACGGCGGCTGGTCACACCCTGCAGAAACCTGAGCCCTGTTCGGAACACCAGCGGCTGCAAGCGACGCGGACAGCTCTGGGCGGGGCAGGGGGTGCATTTCGGTGTTTACTGCTCACGTCTGTCCGTCTCCCACTGGAGGCCCCCACGGCTGTCCCTGCCCGACCCAGAGCAGGACTGCTGGGGCATGTCACTCAGGAGAATGACCAGCCCAGCCCACCAGAAGTGTGACAGCCCGGGTGCTCCCCACCGCCTGCTTTCGGGGGCTTGGGAGGCTCAGGGGAGCTAAATGAGCTGCCTGCAAAGCTGGGCAGTGCGGAGCCGGAGCAGGGCCTTGGGCCAGGTCAGCTGACTTCGAGCGCCCGCCAGTCGGCTTCTGACGGCCTCAGGCTCAGTGCAGGGTCCCCGCCCCCAGCTCCCCAGCCCCGGGATCCCGGAGCTGGGGTGGGGTAGGGAGCTCTGGATGTCTCTGGGTCACCGGCGACACCCCTCTTCTTCAGGAACCCCCAAAACATTCTTGCAGCCCCTGTCCCCTCAACACTATTGCAAAATGCCAGCCCTTCTGTTCTGGCTTTAACACCCCCGGGAAAGGGAGAAGTCCCCGAAATAGCGGCAGGAACTAAAGAGAAGACGAAGAGACAGACGAGCCACACCCCCAGAGAGAACAGGAGCTGGGGCCCCGGCCACACTCGCGTCTTCACTGAGACCTGCAGGCCCCTCGATCTGGGAGGGGGGCGGGGCCAGGGAGACGGAGAGGAGCAGGAGTGGGGTGTCCAGGTTAAGGAGGCCGAAGTCGGGGGCCAGACTATCGCTCCCCTCGCATTCCCTGGGTCCTGACCCTCCAGCTCTGCCCACCCCCCTGCAGTGTGCCCCCCACCCAGAGTGAAGGGGGGAGGGCCTTCCCAAAGCCTCTTAGACTTCCTGCCTCACCGAGGGCTTCCAAATCCAGGGACACGGTCATAGTAGGCTGGGTAAGTCAGGGGAGAGGGGCTTCCCTGCCCTGGGCCAGGCGCTGGGGGGAGTGATGGAGCTCAGGCCAGAGCTGGGTCCTCCTTGGGAACTGAGCAAGGCAGGGGGTGGGGTGCTCCTCTGGGGTGGCATCAGCAGGAGAAGAGGCCTACTGTCCTCTGGGTGTCCCAAGGAACCCTCCGAGGCCTGTCCCGCTCACCAGCAAGGCTCACAGGCTGGCTTGGTTCTGGGCGGGCTGCCCGTGGCCCGGCCCCGCGCCCAGCTGTCCTGGAGTCTGGTACCTGCCTCCACCGCCACCCCCCAGACACTCCCGGGGCCCCGCCCCTGAAGTTCCGGGCACTGAACTCACAGGGGCTCGAAAGTCCAACTTAGGGTTCTTAGGAAGTTTGAAGGAAGTGCCTTTGGCAGTATTTCCCCAAAAACACTCTTTTTAAGTTAAACTCGCCACAAGCTGCAATTCCAAAAGTTTCTGTATGAAAGACTCTGCCCCCGAGTTCTACCCACCGCCGCCTGCCACGGAGATGTGCCGGGTAAGGGCCCCTTCGGTATTGTCCGAGCGGCGCCCAGCCTCCCGAGAAACTGGACATGGGGCCCCTGAGGCCCCGCCCCAGGGGGCTCACAGACAAGTGAGGACGCAGGAGAAGGTCACACACACACACACGGTCACACTGCTCGGTGCCAAGGACACTGGCGGGGAGGCCTGGAGTCTGGGGAGCAAGCACAGCAGAGGTGCATCGGGTCTAGACGGCAGAGTGGGAAGAGCAGAGAAGGCCTCCTGGAGGAGGAGGCACATGAACAGGGTGCTGGGACATCGGAAATGCAGGTGCAAGGGGAGGGAGCTGGCTGCCCCAGGCGAGGAAGCAGCTCCCCCAGAGATGCTCGGAAGTGAGAGCGCGCCCAGTGAACGTAGGAAACTGCCACTGAGCGGAGTCAGGACATGCGGGGTCAGGGGGCAGGTGAGTCTGGTGGGGAGAAGGCAGCTCGTGACCAGCCTTGGATGCCGGAATAAGACTCCTAGAATTCATCCTCAAGTCGCAGGAATCCCTGGAGGGTGTTAAGCAGAGTGTAACATGGAGAGGCACACGGCTGGGGAGAAGCATTCTGGTGGCACTGGGGTGGAGAGAAGGGACAGAGGAGGCGAGAGGCCTGGGTGAGGCCAAAGCGGGAGGTGTGTCCGCGCTGGAGGGCGGCCACGGTCCGGGAAGCGCTGGCCTCCGTGCCCGCAGGGACCGGCGGTGGTGCGGACGCAGCAGGGGTCTTAGGGTCCTGCGTGGGCCGAGGGCCGGGGAAAATCACCGCATGCACCCTCCCTCCGCAGTTTCCCCAATTGCGAAAAGGGGAAGAAGACGCCACCCTCAGAAGGTTGTGTGACAGTGAGATGTGACGTCTGCGCGGTGCCCGGAATGCATCAGACAAGTGACAGCTCCGATGTGATGTCACCGTGTGTCTCCCTCCGGGCCCCCTCGGGGGCTCGTTGTTGGAAGCTGGGGGTGGCATTCCCTCTTCTCCTTAGTCATGGTGGCACCGAGCAGGGGGTGCCCCTTCCCCCCACCCCCCCACCCCCCGCTAAGACAGCGTCAGGTGATTCTCGCGCTGGCCCTGTGAAGCCGGCACCGCCACCGCTGCTGCTCCACGGGCCACCCAGGTGCAGGGTGACACGTTCACAAAAGCGTCTCCCACTTACCAGGGCCTTCTGGACCCGGGGTCTCTGTTCTCGGTTGGGGGCCCAGGACCCAAGGCCCAGCACCATCACCCCGCTGCCCTCTCACCCCGACCATGCTAGGAACCCCAAATGAGCGAACTCACCTATCCTGTTGTTGGTGTTCTCCGTGGTCACCCGGGGCTCGGGGAGGTCCCTGGGGGACGAGGGGCCCCCACCTGGACTGGCGCCCAGCAGCGGCTGGCTCTCCCGAGGAACCGGCTGGCTCTCCCGCAGAACCGGCTGGCTCTCCCGCAGAACCGGCTGGCTCTCCCGCAGAACCGGCTGGCTCTCCCACGGAACCGGCTGGCTGGTTCGCCCCAGATCTCCAGTGGAGGGCTCTGCCACCGAGACGACTGTCTTCAGGTCCTGCGGGCACAGAGGAGGCGGGCGCTGATGCGGGGTGCCCCAACCTGCCCCCTCCATCCCCGGTCTCCGAAGGGCGAGCCCCATTTCCTTCACCCCTGTGAGCCCCAACCAGCCCCCCTCGCTGCTCCGGAGCTGCCACACACGCCCCCGGGCTTCTCGGCCCTGACAGCCTGACCCACCTGTGCCTGAGGTTCTGGGAGAAGTCACGCTGCCTTGAACTCGTACTGACTAATGGGGATGGTGGCCAATATCCCATGTGTGTACCCCACAACAGGTTCATCCTCACGGCCACCCCACGAGGTCACTGATACCAGCACCCTCTTCATTTTACAGGCCAGGAAACTGAGGCACAGAGGAGTCACGTGACTTGCTCAGGGTCAGAAAGTGCCCACCCAGTACTCGAACCCTGGCATCTGGCTCCAGAATTCACGTGTGGAAGGGCCAGTCTACAAGTGTCAGCTCCAGGCCACCCAACTGCCCGGCCCCAGCCTCTGGGGACAGCAGTCTGTTACGATTACACTAATGAGTTCTAAAAATAGCTACGCCTTCAGGAAAGTGTGGGTTTAGTTTCTCACTTTCCTAGGTGAGTGCAAAGGGGAAGCGGTCTCATGTGGAATGTTCTAGCGGGTAGCATTTACCTGCTGCCTTCCAAATGGAATGAGATTGAGTAACTCAGAAAGTGTACCTACATGCTTCTGAATATTATAACAATTTGAAATCTAAAAGACAGCATTTTTTAACAATTTACTATTCATGTGTTGGCCCATGTAGCCATATAAGATATTCTATTATTTGCAAATCATCGAATCCTTTTTTCTTATTTTGTTAAGATTTTATTTATTTTTTTAGAGAGAAGTTAAGGGAGGGAGAAAGAGAAGGAGAGAAACATTGATCAGTTGCCTCTCACATGCCCCCAACTGGGGATCTGGCTCGCACCCAGGCATGGGCCCTCACTGGGAATCGAACTGGCAACCTTTTGGTTCACAGGCTGGCACTCAACCCGCTGAGCCACACCAGCCAGGCTGAATACATTTGTCATGAAATTTCTCGGTATTTGACAGCAACTTGTCCGACCCAAGAGTATTTGAATGTGATCTCCCACAATTTAAAATTGAACTTGGCCCTGGCTGGTGTAGCTCAGTGGACTGAGCGCAGGCCTGTGAATCAAACAGTCACTGGTTCAATTCCCAGTCAGGGCACATGCCTGGGTTGCAGGCCAGGTCCCCAGTGGGGGGGTCCGTGAGAGGCAACCACAAGCTGATGTTTCTCTCTCTCTCTCCTTTCCTTCCCCTCTCTCTAAAAATAAATAAATATTTTTAAAAATTGAACTTGTATTGTGGTTCTATTACGTTTAAAAACAAAGGATGGAAACCTTTCTCCACGTATCAATGGGTTATTTTTCTTCTCTTTAAAACTGCATTTCAACAGAGCTATGCTTAGAGAAACACACTTATATTGGTTAATAGAATGCAACTCAAGTTGAACTTATTCTACACAATTTGGACCGAAAACTTGGTACATGGTTGAAGCATCACGAAGAAGAATCTGCGATCTGGTCTGTTTTCCGTTGCAGGGGTCTACAGATCACCCATCAAGTGCGGATGAAGGAGACAGCAGGGACCTGGAGAAACCGACCCCAGCCTTGTCTCTGGAAAGGGCACCTCCGGCCCTGAAGGAGACTGTGAGACCGGTGTGACAAACCACCGTCACGCTCCAGTGTCGGTCTGCGAGCGCAGTAACGAGTGGATGCTGAAGACAGTGGGGGTGCCTACATGTGCACGGGAAACTGTCAACACGATGCTATTTAGTTAATGTTACATGTCGATTGCACACGGTCCACGTATAAATGCATGAGTTCAGAGAAAGTAATGGAAGATTTGGTAAGTGAGAAAGAAGGTGGGTGAGTCAGACATGCCTGAGACCCAGCCACGGGGAGGGCCTGGTCCTGCCCCCGCCCTCAGCTCCAGCGGACACTGCCCCAGCTCCCGCTGCCCAAGCTGCCCCTAGGGGCTGGGCACAGAGCCGGGTGCCTGGACAAGCCCAGCGAGGACCTGGGGTATGGGTCCCCTCCTGGGTGGTCGTAGGACTAGCGTTAACAGTCGTAAACGCCCAAGCCCAGCGCCTGCGTGGTGCGTACTCCATAAAAGGCAGATGTAGCTGGGCCTGCTGAGAGGCAGCTCGGGGTGGAGCGCCAGCTCGGGAGCCACCCGTGGGGGCTCGGATCCTCGCAGACCGGCTCTCCAGCTGTGGGGCCCCCTTTCCTGTCTGGGCCTCTGTTTCCTCCTTTCTAGACCAGGACAGCAGTGCCGACCGCGGCACTCGGTAAGGACCAGAGAGAACGCCGAGAAAGCGCAAAGCCAGGTAGGTGCCTCGCTCACGGGAGACCCTCGATACACGCACGATAGCTAAGTTTTTTTTAACAATTCTTGCTGCTGATTGGCCACCCCAGCTTCGAGGATAAGACTCTGGGAGGAGTGAAGGAGAAAAGGGGAAATAAACACAGGCTTCCTCGTGACCTGACCACACCTGGCACCCAAAGTGGCCAAAATCAAATCCACGGTCTGGCAGGCCTTTCTGGAAGTCCCCGGCGGGGTGAGCCAGGAGCCGGAGGCTGCTGCTGGGGTGGGAGGTGGGAGGGGTGGCCAGGGCCTGGCTGAGGCCCCGCTCTGCTCAGAGCTCCCTGCATGGGGCAGACCCAGCATGAACTTTCGGGGGGACCACACAGTTCTCAGCACCAGCAGATGGGTTGAAGAGCCAGATTTCGGGGCGCCAGGCTAGGGTGGGGGTGGGGTGGTACTTACCGCCTGGTTCTTCTGGGGCCTGGGATCTGCAAGGAGGAAAAAAGTGGTCACTTCACCAAGGGAGGGTCTGGCAGCGGCTGGGTCCTGCCCCACCCCTCATGTGGGCCAATGCCACCCCCTCGGCTCCCCAGCACTTGCTGAGGCTCAGTTAGGCCCTCGGTCTGGAGAACTGTGGGCAGATTTCAGGGTCCACGCCCACGCCACCCAGGCCAGGGTCACCAGGGCTCACTTCCCCAGCGGCCGTCAGGGAACAGGGGGACCACCTCTCCTCTGGCCACCAAGCCAGTCAGCACGCTGGACCCCCCCACCCCCACGCACCCACGCCCCCCCACCCCGCCGCCCCAAGGCACACAGAAGGAATGGCTCAGGAGCGGCACACGCCCCCCGGGAGGCTCCGCTGACTCAGACACTGGTCCCCAGCAGCTGCCCCCACCTTGCAGCACTCGGGGGTCTGGAGGGCCCAGGTCAGCGTCAACACCCAGAGGACCTCGGGGCAGGCCGACGGAGAGTGGGCGACGGGCCCTGGGGACGTGCTCTGAATCCCGTGTTGGACCTGCGGCAGCCAGGCCGCCCCGGAGCCCCTCTCTGGCTCAGGCCACTCTGAGTTCAGTTCTCTGCGTACTGCGCTTTCAAAAGCCCACGTGGGCCGCCTTTGGGGAGACCAGCTGCTCCCTTGGGTGGGCTCGGAGCTGCTGACGCAATGACTCTCAGGGCACAGCCTTCATCCTCTCCTCCCAAACCCCCACCCTCTGCTCCGGATTTTTTTTCTCCCACTGAGTAGGGTGCCAGGTCCTGGCCAAGTGTACACTGACATTTAGCCATGGCCCAGGCATCTGGTCTACCCTAGAGCCCATCAAACCCCAGGCGCAAGCCGTGCCTGCAGAGGAGCGCAGCCTTTTCCGACTCTCTGGGAGCCGCCTGCGGAGACGAAGAGTACGTTCCTGTCCGGTGTGTGTGTGCCCGACCCGAGAAACCTGCTAGAGAGATGCCAGTATGCCAGCTACACCACTTCCAGAACGTGCTCTGGGGAGCCACCAGCCCTGAGTCCCCACTGAAAACCCCGCAGAGGCTGGCCAACCACGATGATGACACAGTAAGGAGACAGACGGGGCTGTGTGGAACACGAGGTCAGCTTGGGAAACACTCCTATGTGCCCCTTTAAATGCCTGTCAACAGGCCTGGCTGGTGTGGCTCAGCGGATTGACCACCAGCCTGCAAACCAAAGGGTTGCTGGTTCGATTCCCAGTCGGGGCACATGCCTGGGTTGTGGGCCAGGTCCCCAGTAGGGGGCACTCAAGAGGCAACCACACATTGATGTTTCTCTCTCTTTCTCCCTCCCTTCCCCTCTCTCTAAAAATAAATAAATAAAATATTTTTAAAAATAAAAAACAAATGCCTGTCAACAGACCAGAACAATGATGAAAAGAAGTACGTGTATAAAACGACCCAATTCTTCTTTCTGGATTTAACACACCTGGCACGCTTACTGAATCTGACAACTGCCGTTCCCGGCAGCCTGGTCACCTCAGGCAGGGCAGCCGGGGCTTCTCCCCACCAAGCCACCACCTTCAGAAAATACTCTCTGGCCTGAGGCACATTCTTTCAAATGATGTCAGTGAAGCTGAATCTCCACTCTTAGTGGCTGATTCTGAGGTTTGCAAACAGCCCGCTGTGATTTGGTGCCAAGTCACTGGGGTAGGGGGTGGTCTGGGGGGGACAAAGTACTGAGACAAAAATGAACAAAAACGATAAAACTCAGTCTCGGAGAGGATGTGGGTAAATGGGAACATGGCTGCTGCGGGCGGCCCTGGGAACCGGTCCCACCGTTCTCACACCCTCTGACCCAGTAACCCCTCTGCTCCGAGGACACGCCCTCAGGAAACAACCAGAAAGAAAAGAAAAGGCCGTTCCCAGCGAGGGTGCTTGCAGTAACCGAAGAGCTGAAAGCCAGCCAGATGCCGACACGCCCGAGGGGGAGGCCATCCTGGCAGCTCACCCCGGCAGTGACCTCGCCTCTCCCAGCCTCGGTCTCCACTGGAAAAGGGGGTGGCCTTTGGAGGGGTTCCTTGAAGGTTAAAGGAGATCTTGAAAAGGACGATGGGTAAAAACTAAGCACATCTGAGTAGAGTGCGGGCTTCAGTGAACAGCACTGTATCAATACTGGCTTGTTGGTTGTGACAAATGTATCACACTGATACAAGATGTTCATTACAGAGGGGGGGGATGTGGTGAGTCTGTGTATCAACTTCTCAAATGTTCTGAACATCGGCTCTAAAAAATGAAGTCTACTTAAAATGGTTTCACACTAAAAAGGGGAGGTGCGCAGGACCCCCGCCTAGCACACAGTGGGTCCCTGGACCCACGCCATCACGACACACACGAGATGAGCATCTGACACTGACCCTGGCGAACCAGCGCGGAGTAACACCAGCGTGAAAGGGCAGAATGCAAAACGCAGGAGCAGCTGCCTCCAGCGCCTCCAGCCGGCCCACAGCCACCTCCCGCTGATCCACAGCCGCCTCTAGCCAGCCCACAGCCGCCTCCAGCCGGCCCGGGTGCTCAGCTACAGGCTCAGAACGCACTGTGCTGAGTGCACGGGTTGATTGCGAAAGAGCTCTTCCCTTAAAAGTGTTGCCTCAGTCCACAGTCTCCACTTACTGGTTTCACTGCCTCTGGAACACTGACCTTCCCGTAAACACGCCCCAGGACAGGAGTCCGGGGACACGCCAGGCATCAGCGGCCCTCTTGGGACAGCGCGCGGCACCCCGGGGCTACCCTGAGGGCCACTGCAGCTGAGCTCGTGGGTCCGGGCTCACGTCTCGCCCTTGGTCCCGTCCACCTCGGTCCCTCTCCCTTTCGGTCCCGTCCCCTCGCTGGCTGGAGGTCTCAGCTGCTGTGGGAAGCCAAACGGACCCAAGGACACGGTTTGGCACAGAGGTGTGGCCAGGCTTTGGCAACCGGCACATCTCGGTTCAAATCCCGCACTCCCTGCAGACGGAGCTGGAGGACTCCAGGGCGGGGGCAGGAGAGGACAAGCCAAGCCGGGAACATCTTCGCATAAAGAAGCACTCCAAACGCAAGAGGGTGGGGACGAAAGGACACCGGGGCCAGCGTGAGGCGGCCCTCTCTGACCTCACGGGGGCCGATTCGAACATCAAACCGAAAAAGACGGCAGCGGAATGAAGCAGGAACCCGTGAGTCAGATGTAAACACACAGGTAAAGAGGAGGAAAGTCTGACGCGGACCAGGTCATTTACATATCCTCCGAGTGTCTCCCCTCCGAGTCCTTGGCAGTCACCAAGGGGACAGGAGCACCGTCACCGCAGGGGGTGGGGGGGGGAGCCTGGCACACGCCACCCGAATCCAAGTGAACCGCGGCCAGAAACGGGAGCAGGCGGCACCTGGGAGGGCGGACGCCACCAGGAAGGGCTCCACGTCGCTCCAGACGGGGGCTCTTCCCGCCAGAGACGCACCACAGCAGACAGGGCCGGGGGGTGGGACACCCACAGAGTCCCCGGTGGGGTCTTCAGAAGCGGCAAGGTCATGAACACGCAGGAAGAGACAGGAACGGACCCCGCATCACGGAGACAGGACAACCCAAGGCGACACGAATTTTGGCACTGAGTTCTTCTCTGAAGGACATTATTGGGGCGAATGAAGAAACCTGAGTGGGGGGGTCTGGGAATCAGTCGGGGGCGATGCGTCAGGGGACGCCTCTGATTTTGATGGTTTTACTGCGCGCGGCAGGGCAAAAACACGCCTCGCTCAGAGGAAATACCCACGGAAGCGTCAGCCATGACGAGGTGCTAAGTCAGCGACTTACTCTCAAACGGTGCAGGAAAAGGGAGTTCTTTGCACTGCCCTTGGGACGTGTCTGTGAGTTGGAAGTTGTTTCAAATGAGCAACACCACATTTTTTTTTTTTTTCCAAACTAAACCTGCCTGGATGAACTGATACAGCGATGACTTTCGTGTCCATGAAAACGAAAGACTGAAAGAATTTTAACCAGAGTTTCTCAGCCAGAAGTGATTTTCCCTCCAGGGCACACGTGACAATATCTGGACACACGTTCAGTTGTCCCAACCGGGAGGTGCTCCTAGCAGCCGGTGGGTCTGGAGACCTGGACCCGACACCCTACCGTGCACAGGACCCCCCCCCCCGCCCCAGCAAAGAATTACCCGGTGCCGCACGTCGATAATGCGAGGGTGTGAGACCCTTTTTACAAAAACCTCACCACCCACAGTAACAACGAAACCCTGCTCGTAACCCACAGGGCCCTAAACATCCTCCTGAGCCTCTGGTGCCCCATCTGTGAACGGAGGACAACGGCAGTGGCTGCCTCCCAAGGATGCTGGGAGCGGGGCGGGGGTGGGGGAGGTCATGTAACGCCGGTCACCAAGGACTCACGCCGCAAAGTCCAGGCAGTCCGGGAGATGACTGGTGAGCACATCATGGACACCTGCCCGACCCTCCACGTCCTGGGCAGGGCTCCCACTCCCATCCTGCTACCCCTTTGGCACCTGCCGCTGGTCTAAAAGCCCAGGAGAGCAAGGACAGTTCTGCACCCACTAGGAGCCACCCAGCCACGTGAGTGTCTGCACGAGAGCGCACAAATGAGCGAACACTCCCTCACCCCGGCAGCACCTGCTGCTCCATCCCAAGGGAACGAACGGGGCGTCCACCCTGCACCGTCCACTCCCAGCCTGTGCCCTGCGTGCTGACCCTGGCCTCACCTCCCGGCCCGTGCCTGGGAGACCCAGACCACCCCCCGACCAGGCACCCACCGGAAGCCGGAGGGCCAGAACCAGCCACCACCGAGTCTCAGGGCTCAGGGTTCCTTGCAGAGCTGGTTTCTTAAGGGCAGGTGCTATTTTTTTTCTCTCTCTCTCTTTTTTTTTCTGTATGTGACAAAACTGCTGTCACAAAGGTTCGACGAAAAAAATAAACTGACGGCAATGGAAATTCTAATACTAGAAAAATGTCAAGAAAGCAAACACGGGTTTCAATGAGACTCGGAGCCTGACAGCTCATGGAAAAAGGCTTGAAACTATCAAAACACAAAAACCCCCCTTGCGGGGGGGACCCGGGCACCTGCCTGCGAAACTCATCAGATGCAAACCGTGCCTCCGAGGACCGTGTTTTCCTGCCCAAGTCAAAAGTGGGGGGCCACGGGAAGGCTCTCCGAGGGTCCCGGAAAGATAGGGGGCAAGGGGGCCACCGCCCGGCCTGGGGCTGACCCCTGGGCGCCCGTGGGGCCGTGGGGTGGACAAAGCTTGGGGGGAGGAGGAGGAAGGTTCAGCTCCGAGCCCTCTCTACACACAGAGCAGCAATCTCAAGGACCCCAGCGTCTGAGTCTGGAGTGGCTCTTAGGGTGGGCAGCCCGGGGCCGGTTATCTGCCTCCTTAGAAAAATAAGATCATCCCGCCCTGGCTGGTGTAGCTCAGTGGATTGAGCTTGGGCTGCGAACCAGGCATCGCAGGTTCGATTCCCAGTCAGGGCACCTGCCTAGGTTGCAGGCCACGGCCCCCAGCAACCGCACATTGATGTTTCTCTCCCTCTCCCTCTCCTTCTCCCTCCCCCTCTCCCTCTCTCTCTCTCTCTCCCCCTCTCTCCCTTCCCTCTCTAAAAATAAATAAATAAAATCTTTAAAAAAATGTTAAAAAAAAAAGATCATACCCCCACCGCCCCTGGGGTTCCTGGGCGGGGAGACCCTGCAGGGGGGAGGGGCCTGCCTGGGAACCAGACAGGGAAGCTCAGACCATTCAGGTGTGCTCCCTCCCCAGAGGTCGGGGCCCGGCACCCAGGTGCTGAAGAGGACCCTGCCCTGCCTTGAAAGGGGCTGCGAGGGAGGAAGAAGACACTCGGTACCAGGTGTCTGGGAGGCCCCTCCCCCCAGGAGCGATCTACCGCCTGGACGGGTGGGGAGGGCGGGGCTCCGGAAGGCTGCCTGGCGGAGCTGGCCTGGAGCCTGGGCAGCATCGGAGAGCAAGAACCACCTGGAACTCAGGCAGGCCTGGGGTCCCCGGGGAGGGACGAGGCCCCAGACGCATGTGACCACTTACCCACAGCCTCCTGCTGGGGCCGGAAGGTCGGCACTGGGCGGCACAGGTGGAGCTCTGCAATGACACCCGGACGGGGGTGCTGGGTCTCAGACAGCCTCAGAGGTCAGGGCAGGGAGAGCCCGGCCGGGGTCGCACCAACACCCAGCGCCCCCCACCCCAACCCAGGGCCCCAGGGTCCCGGCCACTCACTCTGCCGAATCCACTTCCAGCAGGTCCTTCGGTGGTACACGAGGAAGGAGACGGAGCCGAGGACGACCACCAGGGCCACGACCACCCAGAGGAGCACCGAGCCTGGAACACAGAGGTGGTGGCCCTGCACGCTCCACCCCGAGGCTGGCGGCCCCCGAGGTCCGCTGTACGGTGGTGAGCCAGGGGCCCTTTCCTGCGCCCGCACCGAAAACCAGACCCCGCATCCGGCCCAGCCCTCGCCCACCTGCCCTCCCTGCCCCGGCTCCAGGGAGCCCATCGGGGTGGCTTCCTGGTGGAGAAAAGAGCGCCCCGTCCCTGGAGGGCGGGGAAGGGAGGGGTCAAGCGGCCAGGGGACTCCAAAAGGACAAGGACCGGGGGGCTGTGGAGGAGGCACACGGAACGTGCATCCCCACCAGACGGGGGCCTCGGTGAAGGCGGGCAGCCCTGGGCCACGGGCACCGTTCCCATCACCACCTCCATGTGACAAACGAGGGAAATGGAGGCTCTCGAAGGTTAAGGAACTCGGCCAAGGTCACCCCAGGGTAAATGACAAAATCTCGGCTCAGGCCAGGCCAGGGGGCCTCCCAGGGGGGACTCCACACACTGAACTGCCACCCGGGTGTATTTCTTTACATCTTAGTTCTGAACTTGCCTCCTTTTTCCTTTTGTCGCTTGGGGAGATCATGAAACTAGTTACCATTTTCAGTGCATTTTTAGGTGCCCAGAAGTGGTTTTGTGCCAGAGAAGTGCTTCTCAAACCTGAATGTGCAATCTCCTGGGGACCATGTTAAAATGCACATTCTGACTCTGTAGGGCTGGCGTGGGGCCCATAATTTGTTTTTCTAACAAGTTGCTGATGCTGCGAGAACTGTCGGCCCGAGAACTACCGCCACCTGGTGCCCAACTCTAGAACTGCAAGTCCTGGAATGAATGGCACTTAGAGCAAGCGAAGGTCTCTGCTCTGCACGGAGCTGGTGGTGAGCGGCTGGCTCCATGCTTACCTGGCATGGTACATGCTATTACCACTTTATATGGGGAAAACTGGGGCTCAAAGGCATTAAGCAATTAGCTGCAGTCATAAAATCATTTGCCAAATATCAATAATTTCTGAGTAGCAATTATGGGCCATGAGCAGGAAGCTGTGAATGAAACCCCTACTCACAAGAATTAAGGAATAATAGCTAGCAAGTGGCAGGGCCCCAGCCCCAGCCCCAGCCCAAGAGGCCAGAAACCCGGGGTCCACCTTGGTCCCCCAACCCAGCGGATGCCACAACCCCGGGAGAAGCCTCCTGCCTTCTGCCCGCGTGGGAGGAAGGCCCCGCCTCCTGGGCATGACCATTACCTGAAACCTGGATGGGTCTTCCCGTGGAGGGGAAAGAGACAGGCGCACTGGTTGAGATGGAGGCGTCCTCCCGGGCGTGAGTGGCACCCCCTCCGAGCCCTTGACTGGCCTGGGAGTCGGCTGGGGAGATCTGCGCGGGGCTGGCGCTGTGGGCAGAGAAGCCGGAGGTAGGAGTGATGGTGGCGATGGAGGACGGAAGCGTGAGCTCAGAAATACTTCCCTCCCTCTGGAGATTGTGCAGGCGGGGCCTGCGTCCCCAGACCCTCTGCCCGCCGTCTCTGCCAGGCACTCCAGGGGCAGGGCCTGCCTGTGGAGGCCTGCAGCCTTGGTGCCAGCCCAGAGCCCGGCACGAGCTCTCCAAAAGGACTTGCAGGTTTGGTACAGAGATCCAGCCCGAGCCCCACCGCCGCTCCCAGTCCAGGTCCCCCAGAAGGGTCCGTGGAGTCACCTGTTAGGAGCCTTGCTGTCCTCTGGGTTGGTGCTGCAGTTAAGGTGGGTCCCCGGGGAAGGCGGCGCATGGCTGTTGTCCCTCTTAGCTGCACCTGCAAAGAGTGGTCTTAAACATCAGTGCCAAGGAGCCTTACCCGGCAGGGACTGGTGACTTCCAGGGAGGCAGCACGACCACAAGATCCCCACCCTCCGGGGCTGACAGGCTGGTGGGGTTCACAGATGTGACTCAGGGGTCCCACGAGGGCACACGAGGTCCCTGAAACAGGGGACTCAACATAGCCAGGCCTCTGGTGCACATTTGTTCACAGAGCATCCTTCCTAGCAGTCCAGAAAGTGGGAACGGCCTGAATGTTCCTCCACGGATACACCCAAGTAGTGTATCTCTACCCTGGGATGTTGCTTGGCAACAAATTCACCAATGACGCACCCTATAAGGGGTTACTATCCAAAATAAATGAGGAACTCATACAACTTAGCACCCAAAAGAAAATGCAATGAAAAAACGGGCAGAGGACGTGAACAGACATTTCTCCAAAGAGGATGCAGAGATGGCCGGCAGACGTATGAAAAGACGACCAACATCGCACATCAGGGAGATGCAAATGAAAACCACAACGAGATCCCCTCACCCCCGTCAGAATGGCTGTCATCAGTAAATCAGCCAAGAACAGGTGCTGATAAGGATGCAGAGAAAAGGGAATTCTTACGCACTGTTGGTGGATTGTAAATTGGTGCAGCCCTTATGGAAAACAGTATGGAGCTTCCTCAAAGAAATTAAAAATACAACTACCAGCCCTGGCTGGCATAGCTCAGTGGATTGAGCGCGGGCTGCGAACCAAAGTGTCACAGGTTCGATTCCCAGTCAGGGCACATGCATGGGTTGCAGGCCACGGCCCCCAGCAACCGCACATTGATGTTTCTCTCTCTTTCTATCTCCCTCCCTTCCCTCTCTAAAAATAAATAAAATCTTTTTAAAAATTATTTAAAAAAATACAACTACCACTGACCCAACAACTCCACTTCTGTTTTTTAAATGTTTTATTTATTGTTATTTTTTTTTTAGACAGAGGGCAAGGGAGGGAGAAAGAGAGAGAGACAAACATCAATGTGTGGTTGCTTCTTATGCATCCCCTACTGGGGACTTGGCCCACAACCCAGACACATGCCCTGACTGGGAATCGAACTGGTGACCCTTTGGTTCACAGGCTGGCGCTCAATCCACTGAGCCACACCAGCCAGGGCCACTTCTGGTTTTTTAACTAAAGAAACCTAAAGTACTAATTTAAAAACACATATGCACCCCTATGTTCGCTGCAGCATTATTTACAATAGCCAAGCCACAGAAGCAGCCTCAGCGTCCGTCGACAGACAAGTGGATAAGGAAGCAGTGGCACAGACATGTGATGGAATATTACTCGGCCATAAAAAAGAATGAAATCTTGCCATGTGCAACAACATGGATGGACCTAGAGGGGATTATGCTCAGCGAAATAAGCCAGAGAAAGACAAATACCATATATGATCTCACTTGTACGTAGAATCTGAAGAACAAAATAAACGAACAAACAAAAGAGGAACAATCATAGACACAGAGAACAGACCAGTGGCTGCCAGGTGGAAGGGGAGGTGGGGGGCTGGGTGACAAAGGTGAGGGGTTTCACAAGCACGAATGGCCACACACGAGAAGCCACAGGGATGCAAGTTCAGCACAGGGAACAGAGTCCATACTACTGTAACAATGATGAGTGGTGTCAGGTGGGCACTGGACTGGTCAAGGGGATCATTTTGCAGGTCACATCACGTCTAATCACTGTGCTGTACACCTGAACCTAATAGAAGACTGAACATCAGCTGCCCCTGAAAAGTTAAATGAGTAAATAAATAGGAAGCACGCCTACTACGTCCAGGCGTGGGTGATTCCCGCTCACCCTGCTGTGCCTCCAGTAGGGGCTTCCATCCTGAAGTCTCATATTTTCCAGGTCAGCTACACAGGGAAAGTTGGGGTCCCACCGTGGGTGCAAGGCCTGGAGCCCCTAATGACCAAGTGGGCAGGTAGGGTGTGCACAGAGGGAATGACAGACTCCCTCGGACACAAGGCCTGGAGGGTGCCCGTGTCCCTATTCAGAAGGTCACACCAAGGTGGTCCCCAGGCCCAGGCTGGAGCTGGGAGGTCTCCAAGGGCCTGCCCGCTGCCGACCAGTGGATGGGGACTGACCGGAGGGTGCAGGAGGAGCAGCGAGCAGCAAACGCAGCCCAGAGACGCCTCTTCCCTCCGCCATGGCCCCCCAGCGCCCTCTACGGGCAAAGCTCAACATCGCGCTCACAGGGAGAAAGCCTTCTGTCCCTAAAGGGTGGCCTGGGACCTGAGAGGCGCTGGATAACAAGCACACTTCTGAAAGCCATCTCGCGTGCTCTGGTCTGTGCTGTTCCTGTTTCACAGCACTCTGGTCTCACTCTGCAGACGTAACAACTTCTCGGATGCTCCTGTGGACACCTCTGCATTTTCTTTGAGTTCTCTTCTGTTCCTGGGTTTGCTGATGCTTCAGCTGTAGTAAGGTTTGGGCATATCTTGGTACTCTCTGGTTTCCCTTGAGGCCTGATAACCTTGCCTGCTCATTCGTATTCTCTGCAAAGGACTGTACGGAATATTCCAGTAGCTAGCGGGTTCCTTCTGCTGCGGTGCCAGCCTGTCCCTGGCCTTTCCGTGACGGGTCTCTTCCCTGAGTGGGGGGTCCACCTGCGTGCTCTGGGGTGCCCATGGGCGTGGGAGCTGGCCGCCCTCACTCAGTGATGGAGCGGCGGCCCGTGCTCCCAAACACACACAGAGGGCTCCGTCCTGGAGGGGCGGCCCCTCGCTGCTGGCCCTGGCTTCCCCCGGAGCCCCCTTCCGTGTCTTCGGCCAGAAAAGTGGATTCTTTTCACCAGGAGATAAAGACCCCAGATACCTGTTCAGACGGGCCAGTGCCCCTGGTATATACCATTGTTACAGATTTCTAAAAGGTTTATTTTCAAGACGAAGTTACAGTTTGCAATTCTCCATTTCACCCCCATCCTTGATTGTACGTGCCAGCTCTGAGCCGAGAGCCTCTCCCGTGATCTTATGAGAGAGCTGCCCCTCCCCCCACCCCCAGCCCTCGCGGAGCGGATTCTGGGGTGAGCTCTCCTCCACCTGGCTCCGCTTGTCACCACCCTTCCGTCTGTTTCCTGCCCTCCAGGAATTTGTCGAAATCTCTCAGCTGCTGAGGAACCTGGGTTTTTTGTTGCTGTTGTATTTCCATGTCAGGAGTTTGTACTTTTCTGGATTCCGGCAAATGTCCACCGTCTTGAGCTGGAAGCCCCTTCATAAACTTTCTATTCATCTGTCTTGAGTCAATAAAACAGTCTGGCAAGCAAGTCAAGATTTTACCAGCCCAACAGTTGGAGGAAGAAAAAAAAATTTTTTAAGATTTTATTTATTTATTTTTAGAGAGAGAAGGGAGGGAGAGAGAGAGAGAGAGAAACATCAATGTGCGGTTGCTGGGGGTCATGGCCTGCAACCCAGGCATGTACCCTGGCTGGGAATCGAACCTGCGATGCTTTGGTTTGCAGCCTGCGCTCAATCCACTGAGCTATGCCAGCCAGGGAGGGAGAAGAATATTTTTTTAAAATCTTCATCAGAACCTCTTACCAAAATGACCCGTTTGGATTTCATGCGAGTCACTGGACCTCACTAGTCAAAGAAAACACGAAGCCCAAACCTGACCTAATTAACAGCTGGGGTTGAAGGTCACCCTACCCCGTGGGGTGGGAGAGGCTGGGCTGAGGGGGTACAGACCTCAGCACCCCCGGCTAGGGGTGCGGACCGCTTACCCTGGAGCTGGGCGGCCGTCTCTGGTGGGACCACGGGGCAGGCGACGCAGCGGGCACAGGTGTTGGTGGCTGACGTTTCACAGAACATGCCGGGCCGGCATTCGCAGACGCGAGAGGAGTTCCACGTGCACGGCGTCTTCTCCACGAGGTCGTCTACGGGACACGGGGCAAGGTCGTAAGGAAGGACGAGGGATGGCAGAGGCATGGGGTGCAGAGAACACCCCAGGATGGGAGGGCGGAGATGCATTTCCCCAGGAGCAAACGCTCACTTCACTTGCCACTGAGCTGACTTTTTGGCGTGCTCAGATACCTCTGCGGAGTGGAAGAAGGCAGACGAGAAAGGTGCACTTCCTCTATGATTCCATTTCCAGAAATGCAGCGCACTGCACAGTGTGGGGAAGCAGATGAACTGCCTGGGGATGGGAGTGGGGGTGGGGGTGGGGGAGGGGGCGGGGGAGGGATGATAAGGAGGAAACGCTGGGGGTGATGGGTAGTTTATGACTTTGACTGGGGCGCCCGTTTCACACATGCGAACATATGTCAAAGCCCACATGTTGCACACTTGAAACACATGCATTGTATTACACGCTTACTCTATCTCAGTGGCCTGTTAAAATAACTCGGAGGTCAGGGGTGCGTGGGCGTGGGCACTGATGGACCAAGACTGACCACGACTCCAGGGGTCTTTGAATCTGGGTGGCGGTCCCCCAGCGTCCCTGCTCCCCTCTTCTTCTCAACAGCTTTGGAACTTCCAGTGATGAAAAGTGTTTTTTCCAAAATCAAAAAATAGAATGCCAGAGGTTTTATAAAAGGAAAGGCACAGTAACGCACTAACATGCATGTGCAGATGGAAGACAAGGCACAGTAACGCACTAACATGCGTGTGCAGATATTCCGCGTGCCCTACTCATGGGAGAACAGAGTCACGGCGCCGGTGGGTGACACACAAGTGACACGCTCAGGAAGGACACGTCTCTGGGACAGGACACGTAGACACCTGGCATGATAAAGATGAGGGGCCTCACAGCCTCTTCCTGCCACCTCCAGAGCGCAAACGGGGGGCGGGGTGCGAAGGGGACTTGGGGTACTTGTGCAGGGGGCAAGAGCGCACTCAGCCATGCGCGAGACGACTTGAGACCATGACCGCTATGAACACAATCGCATATGTGCCAAGCAATGTTCTCGACACTCCACCTGATTAATTCAGTGGGTTCTGCTTCATGGCCACAGCTCTCTGAGACAGTAGTGGTACTGTGCCCATTTTACAGATGAGGAAGCTGAGGTGCAGAGAAGCCTGCTGGAGCTTCTAAGCTACCAAGTGGTAGAGCCAAGATTTGAACCCTGGCACTTAGGCTCCAGAACCCATTCTCTTAGCCCCTCGCTGTCCTGAGGGGCTTCAGTTACGATAGATGAAGGAGTTCGTGGGCCCAGAGCCACCACCTCTCGTTTCTCCGTCTGACACAGTCGCTGTGACAGATCGTCTTTTTCCCAAAAAGAGCCACAGCAATAGTTCGGGCCGCATCTGCTCTTCCAGAGCCCTGGCACGGACCCACCAAGAAGCTTCGTGTTTCTTTTTTTTATCCTCACCGAGGATGTGCTTATTGATTTTAGAAAGAGGAGAAGGGAGGGGGAGAGAGAGGGACAGAAACACCGATCAGTTGCCTCCTGCACATGCCCGGGGAATGAACCCACAATCCAGGCATGTGCCCTGACCGGGAATCGAACCCGTGACCTCTCCATTTATGGGTTGATGCTCCACCCAACTGAGCCACCCTGGCCAGGTCAAGAAGCTGGATTTTTTTTTTCTTCCCTTGACTCAGGCAGGACCTGTGACGACCTCAACAGCTAGAAAGTGGTGGGAGCCGCACCACGTGGCTTCAAAGGCTAGGTCATCAAGAGGGATGTGCCTCAAGTGAGCCGTACAGAGGCTGACACGGGGAGGACCTGAAGGCAGCTGGCATGGGCGCCCAGGTACATCAAGGATCCCAGCCTCCAGCCTTCAGGTCTTCCAGCTGAGACCCCAGGCATCTTGGCGCTGAGACCAGCTGTCCCCACGAGTCCTGTCTGAATTCTGACCCACAGAATCCACGAGTACAAGGGGCGGTTTGTTTTCACCGCTCAGTTTTGAGAGTTTGCTGCGCTGCCTTGGTGACGGCAACAGCGACCCCTGGTGACGGCAGACGGTTCTTTCCTCTGTCTGGTCTCCCTCAAGTTGGGTCACAGTTGCCGAGTGAAAGAAACCAGCGGGAGACGGAATTGTGCATTTCCCCAGCAGCCTCTGCTGCCCGAGCCCTGGGTCACTTCCCCTGCCCCGTGTGACCCTCAGGGACGTCGCAAGGCTGGTGGTGGTGCTCTGGGGCTGTGGTGGACTGGCCACAGGGAACACGCCAGCAGGACGTCAGCCTGCTGTGCACACAGCAGTCACCGGCCGAGAGCTTGTCCAGAGTGGGCCCTAAGGGGCAGCGCAGTCGGGGGGACAGAGCCCAGAACCTGGTGGCAGACACCCTACATTCAAACTCCAGCCCTGCCACCCTCGAGGGCTTGTGGGCTTTGGAAGTGCCTTGACTTTCCGAAGCCTCAGTTTCCTCTTCTGCAGAATGGGGACAATCGCAACCCATGCATCGTACGGCAGCGACAAGAAATGGCGAGACCCGTTTGGAACGGGGAGGTGATGAACAAGCGTTTCCTCGCCGGAGAGAGTGAGTGAACAGAAAAGGGGTCACCACCATCAGAAACCCACAGCCGTGAGTGGGAGTGACGAGATGCTGACAGCCCAAAACACGGAGAGCGAGCCAGGCTCCTGAGGGCTGAGCAGCCCAAGACCAAACTCCGGCCTCCCCTGCCCCAGACTCTCAGTCTGTCCTGCAAGACCCCCGCCCCCTGGAAGGAGCCCCTGGTGGGAAGACAGGTTCCTACCTCCCGAGCAGCTCACGCAGGCTGTGCACCGACCGTCCCCATCCACGTAGTACTCCGGCTCGCACTTCTTCCGGCATTTGGGGGACTCCGGCGGGCACTGCCGCTGCGGGGACAGCCCTGGGGAAGGAAGCAGAGAAGGTCCAGGCCAGGCCACCTTGGCAGGGGCCTCACCCACCCAGTCACTGCAGTAGCCCCCAGCCCCACGGCCAGCTCCCAAACTCCACGCGTGTCAGCTCCACCCCCCAGAGGGAGGGTCACAGGGCTCCGCGAGGGAAGGAATGTGGCTAAGGCCACAGGGGAGGAGAGCCCCGGGTGCCCCCTGCACTTCTGCTCCCCGCCACGGTCCACCATTTCCACCGTGCCAGAGTCCCCTCCCCACACTCACTGCCATGCCCCTGCCCCCTCACAACTCTGGCAGCCACTTCCCCTGTGAGGTCGGCACTGAGGCCTGGATGCCCCCTCTCCCACTTCGGTTCAGCATGGCACAGGGATCCCACACCATGCAATAAGGCAAGAAAAAGGAATAAAAGCAGTAAGGCTTAGAAAGGAAGACATCAACCTGTTATAGGCAGATGATATCACTCAGTACACAGAAAACCCCGAAGAACCTGCAAATAACGTTATTAGCACTAATATGTGAGTCAGAAAGGTGGTTGAATATAACAGTACTGTATTTGTATGGAATGTCTGTCTATTTGGGTTGAACCACATGACACGCTGTTTCAATAGGTCAAATACTAGCAATTTTGCATGGTTCAGAAAGAGTTAGAAGATGACACATTGAAAAAGATACCATTCTCTCGCCCTGGCTTGTGTGACTCAGTGGATTGAGTGCTGGCCTGTAAACCAAAGAGTTGTCGGTTCGATTCCCAGTCAGGGCACATGCCTGGGTTGTGGGCCAGGTCCCCAGTGTGGATCGTGCGGGAGGCAACCACATACTGATGTTTCTCTCCTTCTCTTTCTCCCTCCCTTCCCCTCTCTCTAAAAATAAATAAATAAATTCTTTTTTTAAAAAAAGATACCATTCTCATTTTCATGGGAAATATCAAATACCTAGAAATCTAAGAAGAAGATGCCCATGTCTCCACACAGAAAATAACAACGCACCACTGGGAGAATCTAAAGAAGCCTAAATACACGCAGGGCTGTGCCACACCCTCAGCACGGCGACGGTGCGGGGTCTCTGCAAGCCGACCTGGGGCTTCGGTGCAGCCCCGACCCAAACCCCAACGGGACACTCTGTGGACTTGGAAAAGCCGACTCTCGAGTGTATGTGGAAATGCAAACTACTAGAACAGCCAGTACGCTGTCTAAGACTGAAGTTGAAGAAGTCGCTCCACCACCCACGGAGACGCTGAAAAACGACGGTAATTAAGACGGTACGGTGTTCACACCGAACAGACAAACAGACCCACAGGGCAGAACACCAAGCCCAGAATCACACCCACACGTACGTGGACTTTCGGTTCACAACAAGGCTGGCACGCACACCGCGGGGAAAGGACGAGTTATGTGGTGGATGATGTTGGTTCGACTGCATACCCACGCGGACACTTCTGATGTGACCACTGCCTCGCACCCTGCGCACGAGCCAAGGGGGCTGCCAGATCTAACCACCAAACGCAGACCAACAGTGACCCTAGGCACTAAGTGCAGGACGCCTCTGAGACTTCGGAGGAGGAAGGCTTACAAAGCAGAACGCAGAAAGCGCCAGTCACACAGGAGAAGACGCTGGATCTGCCTACGTCACAGTTAGGAACACCCCTCCGTGGAAAGGCCGTAAAGAGAAGGAGACCTGGCTGGAGTAGCTCAGTGGATTGAGCGCGGGCTGCGAACCAAAGTGTCACAGGTTCGATTCCCAGTCAGGGCACATGCATGGGTTGCAGGCCATGGCCCCCAGCAACCGCACATTGATGTCTCTCTCTCTCTCTCTCTCTCTCTCTCTCTCTCTCTCCTTCCCTTCCCTCTCTAAAAATAAATAAATAAAATCTTTAAAAAAGAGAGAGAGAAGGAGAAGGCGGACCACAGGCTGGGAGGAGATACTAAAGCACAGCTATAAGGCAAAGGGCTCAACACCCAGCATTACAAAAAGTCCTACAAATCAATTTTTTAAGAATTTCCCAAGAGAAATTTAAAAAAACTACACTCACACAAAGACTTGTTTCTCATTATTCATTGTAGCCAAGAAGTGGAAACAACCCAAATATCCAAAAACTGTTTGGATAAGCAAAGGGTGGTGTACCTATACGTGGAAGGCTATTCAGCAATAAACAGGGACAAACCGGGGGCCCCAGTCTGTTGCCATGGGAACCAGGAGGGCATCCAGTCGACACCTGCAGAGGCTGGACTGCTCAGCTGCAAGCCCCAGTGCCCACATCAGCGTCTGGCACACGGGAGGCGCTCAGAACTCCGGCAAAATGGGTGAGCACTTCCACTGCATACTCCGGCCCCCTAAGCCTGCAGCCTCTCTTCTCCCCACGCTGGGAGAGCGAGCCCACAGCTCAGAGCCCGCCTGCCGGGACCGCCACACACAGGTCACCCACCAGTCAGACGCCGCTGCTATGAGAAACCCCCCACAGCTTCTCTGAAGAAATTACCTGGATTTGGACTGGGCTTCTCCCCAGAGGAGAGAGAGTTGGGTGTCCTTGTCATTTTGGAATCATCTTTTGGGGTGAGGGGAGCGTCCCCTCTCAGAAGCGTGGTCCTGGCATCGGAGTCTGCAGAGGTCAGGATGGGCTTGGCCTGGGGTGGGGCGCTCCTAGGAAAAGAGCCGGAGATGGAACAGACAGTTCTGCAGATGGGGAGGCCTGTCCTGTGCCCAGGGATGGCCCTTTCTGCAGAGAAGGGGTCCCCAGGCCCCCTTGCCCGCAGTCTCTGGCAGGCCCTTACTGGGGAGCAAGGGCTGTTTTCTAGGCCTTCTGGGTCTCCCGTGCAATCAGGGCGGGCTGGGCACACAGTAGGGCTTCAAATGACTTATAGGCTTGGCAGAGAGGCACCCTGGACCCTTGACACCCTGTGCTGCACTGCCCCCTACACCCCCAACCCCAGCTATGGCCCAAGCATCCTGTGGAGAGAGAGCGCCCCACACTAAGGTCAACCGGGTGGGGGCAGGCCGGAGTCACCTGGCGGGTGCCTTGCAGTCCTCTGGGTTGGGGCCACAGTCAGGGCCGGCCCCTGGGGGAAGCGGCTCACAGACAGTGTCCCTCTCCGCGGTGCCTGCAGGGAGACACAATGCTTTCAGGCTTGGCATCGAGGAGTCTTAAGACTCCAGGGATTTGGAAAACGCAGCGCCATCTGGTGTTTGCGCCTGCCCAGCATCCATTCCCCCTGGTATGAAGCACCCCAATTTTCTCTGGGGAATCACTCTCCCCAAACCCAGTACCTGTTGCTAGGGGCTGGGACTGACTGACCCCCCTTCCCTTCCAGGAGTGAGCATGGGACTAGGCTGGACCAATCAAATTATCCCATTCCTCTGGCCACAATGGATTGGCTCAGGAATGGGCACGCGATCCAAGCCACACCTATGAGATGCAATTTCAAGGTTTTGTTTTTGGTTGTTGGAAATGTAGGAAGGAGAAGCTGCCTTCCCACTGGGGTTGGGTGGGAAGCAAGCCTGGAGCTGCTGGTAGGTATCTCACAGGCACCTAAAACGTAGGCAGGTACAGATGAGAGATAGGAAAAGACAGGGCTCCTGGATCCAGCTATGCCTGAAGCTGTCCATAGCTATGCCCTGATTTTTTAGCTACAGGAGCCAAAAAAATTGAGATTTTGTGACTTGCAACCCAAAGAGTCCCGCCAGCTACACTGGGTGGAAGCAGAGTGGAGAGAAAAACACATAGCCCTTGCTATCAGCGGACCTGAGTCTGACGCCACCTCTGTCACGCTGTCACGCTGTAGCTGCGCCACGCGAGTCAAATGATTACAATAATAATACAGCCTTCACAAGGCTGTGGTCACAATAAACAGGGTGCCTAATGTGCCTGTCACCCAGTGCAATATGGAGAAAACAGAGTGTCCTCTTCCTCATCTGGACTCTTGTCGCATGGCTTAGAAGTGACCCACATGCGTGGGATGGGATCTGATGGTTTCAGAGGAGGTGGGTGTGGACGAGGCTGACTTATCTTGTGCACCTGTGGTGCGGTGGGGTGACGAGACCCAGCTCGGGGTGGCGTTCACACCCTGGCTCGGACATTCCCAGCTCCGCGGCCCTGAGCAGCTGGCCTGCCGTCTCTGTGCCCAGCCTCCTCACTCGTAGGACAGAGCTAATGCCTCCGTTCTGTGGGGTCTCGCGAGACTCGGAAGTGAGAGCCGAAGCGAGCTCTCAGCGTGGGACTGAGCGGGGAGCTGAATTGACGGCAGAAACTACTTTCCACTTTATGCAGCTGGAGGGACCGAGACCCCGAGAGGTGCCTCATGAGAGAGACCACCACAGAATCTAGACGCGAGCCAGAATGTGGTAGCCAAAGGTCGGGGCGCTTCCAAAGCGGGGCTGGCCAGTAGAAATATGATGCAAATCAGCACTAGATGGTGTGGCTCAGTGGACTGAGCGAACCAAAGGGCTGCCGGTTCGATTCCCAGTCAGGGCACATGCCTGGGTTGCAGACCAGATCCCAGTAGGGGTCACGGGAGAGGCAACTGATGGATTGATGTTTTTCTCCCTCTCTTCCTCCCTTCCCCTCTGTCTAAAAATATAAATAAATAAATAAATACATAAATAAATAGAAATATGATGTGAATCACATGGGCCGTTTTAAATTTTCTAGTAGCCACGTTTAAAAAAAAAAAGAAAAAACATGTGAAATTAATTTAAATAATAGATTTATTTAACCCCATAGATCTAAAATACTGTGTCAGCAGGTAATTGGTATAAAGAATAATTAATGAGATGTTTTCCATTCTTTTATGCTAAGCATTTGAAATTCAGGGCATGTTCTGAACTGGCAGCGTTTCTCAACGCCACTGGACACACTTTAAGTGCCGCAGTGGCCCCACCTCGGGCAGGGGCTCCAGGGGCCACAAAGAGCTGACTCTGGCGCCCCTGTGTGGCCATCGCAGGAAAACCTCTGAGAGAACCGAACCAGCCCCAGCTGGTCCATGTGCCCTCCTCGTTGGAACCACTGAACTCCAGGCACTGGACAGATGGGGAGACTGGGGGCCCGCAGAGGGTGGGAACACACCCCACAGACACAGAGCTACACAAAATCGCGGGTATCTGATGCCCAGTCCAGAGCCCTCTCTACTCCCCCACCCGGCCCCTGCTCGCGGGTCCCGCAGCAGAGCGCTGTGGCTGGCCCAGCTCGAGGCTGCGCAGGAGCTAACCAAGTGAACGGTGAGGCGGTGAGGGACGGGTGTCCCAGACAGAGGGCACCCTGCGTGCAAAGGCCTGGCAGGAGGGAGAGCACTGCCCGTGCATGGCACTGACTGCAGACAGATGGGGGTGGGGGGGACCCCCATAGTGAGGGGCTGGCGCTGAAAGCTGAGGCCGGAGGGCCGAGGGGCCACACCACGGAGAGTCGTGTTAAGGATCTCGTCCTCAAGACTCTGCTTCTGGCCGTGACCTGCGTGGCTCAGTGGGTTGAGCGTCCTCCCACAAAGTGTAAGGTCACCAGTTTGATTCCCAGTCAGGGCACATGCCGGGGTCACTACGGGTTCAGTCCCTGGCCGGGGTGCACATGAGAGGCAATCAATCAATGTTTCTCTCCCTCTCTTTGTCCCTCCCTACTCCTCTCTCTAAAAATAAATAAATAAAATCATTTTTAAAAAGAGAGAGAAAAAAAGGACTCTGCTCTGGGAAGATGGAGTGGATGCCCTCGCCCCTGGTGCTCCCACCGGGCACGGCGAAGACCCTGAAACATGGAAAGGAAGAGGCAGCGAGCCGAGGGGCCTTGGGGCCCGAGAATAACACAGAGGTGAGTCCCCTGGGTGCTCTCTGTGCTTTGCATATCCCAGACCATGAGCCCAGTGAGCCAGCCACCCAGAAATGCCACAGTTATGCCAGTTTAGAAAAAGCCCCTAAAAAAACCTGTTCTCTTTTATCAAAGGACCACGTCCTTAGACTTAAAGGAAGACACTAAGTGTTTTAGGCAGGTTTGTGTGAGAGAGAAAGAGACACACACACGCAATCTGATTGGTTTTGCCTGGGGGGTTCTGGCTATCTGCCATGGGGGAGACGCTGGGGGTGGGGGCAGGAGAGAGAACAGGGGATGGGCTGGCTGGCAGGGGAGGGGGGAGGGGAGGAGGATGTAGGAGGGAAGGGAGGGAGGGGACTTCGGAAAAGGACCAGGTCATGCGCACCATCCGCACCATCCTTTTCAGTGGACGTGGCTCCCTCTGATGCCCCCCTGCCCCCTCCCCGTGTGGGCTGTGTGGCTGCGGCACCTCTCCTGGGCTGTGGTCCAAAGCCCACCCACGCCCCATGCCACCCTTCTGAAAGGTCTCGATGCCACCCACACTGGACCTGTGGCCCTTCTCTCCCCTCTGGTCACCGGCCCTCCTTGTACTGTCAGAAAACGAGAGGCCCAGAGAACATAAGGAACTCGCCTGAGGTCACACAGCAAGTTGGAAAAGAAAGCTGAGTCTCTGGCTTGAGCCTGGTGCCCAACCTCTTGCTGGTCCAACTCCCAAGGCCTCGGTTGTGAAACAGGGAAACCAGCCCTAAACTCCCAGGAATCTCCCGGGACAGATACGCGAGCTTTCTTTCCTGTTTATCGGGCAACCGAGAACTTTTTTCCCCAGAGTCTCAAACCGCCCCAAGACCTCTTCTGGCCAGGCCTGGGCCTTGGGCCGCCAGGGTCTCTCTGAGGCCGGGACACGGGTGAGGGCACGGGGCCGAGAGAGGTGTGGTGCACCAAGGCCCCACCAAGAAAGGAGAGGCGATCTGTCCCACGGAAGGAGGACGCGGGAGGCGGGAAGTCACCTGGGCATGGGTGGGGTGGGTGCAGCCCTGAGCGTCGGGGCACTTACCTGGGGACTTGACGGCCATCCCCGCGGGGCAGGTGGAGTGGGGGGAGCAGCGGGCACACGAGTGGGCGGCCGTGGTGCGGCAGAACAGGCCGGGCTGGCACTCGCAGACACGGGGCGAGCGCTCCGAGCACGGCCTCCTCTCCACAAGGTCATCTGAGGGACACAGAGAAGGGTCACCGAGGACACAGGGAGGTGCGGGGAGGGGGTCCGAGGACCTCCCCAGGGACATGAGGTGGTGCTGCCGCCGCCTTCCGCTGGGCAGGGCAGCCAGCACGCTCAGCCCTTTCCAGAGGGTTCCCGAGACGAGGGCAAGACGGCAGGCGGGGCCCACGAGGCAGCCCCATCTCCCAGCCCACGTCCCTGCAGATCACTAAACTGGTATTGAAAATAAACTCACACCCCCATTTTTAAACGGGCAAAAAAGACACGGAGGGTCACTGAACTCATATTTCTAAGTGAAAGAAGCCGCTCTGAAGAGTTGTACATACTCTGATTCCAGCCCCACGACTCTCTGGGAAAGACCACACCATGGAGGCAGTGAAAAGATCAGTGGCTGCCAGGGTCCAGTGGCCAAGGGCGGGAAAGAACGGGCGGAGCACAGGGGACTGTGAGGGCGCGGGGACTCTCCTGGGTGACGCTGCCGCGGTGGAGTCTCAACGTGAAACACGCGCCCCAAACCAGAGAACTGCGGTCGCAGAGGGAGCCTTCGCGTCACCTGTGCACGTTGGCGAACCGGGCACCAGCACCGGCTGCAAGAACGCGGCTCACTAATGTGGGCTGTTGACACCGGGAGAAGCTGTGGGGCGTGGTGGAGCGAGGGGGCGCCTGGGAACGCTCGGTACTTTCTGCTCTATCTTTCTAAAAATCAAAAACTGTTCTTTAAAAAGGTCTGCTCGGTGGTTGGGGTTTTTTTCTGTTTGTTTGTTTGTTTTTTTCACAAGCCAAGGATCTGAGGAAATTCTTCTCCAGAGAAGATATACACACGGCCAGTACGCACAGGAAAAGATGCTCAGCGTCATCGGTCGTCATGGAAACGCAAACCCAAACCGCAGTGAGACGCCACTTCACGTCCCCCAGGATGGCAAGAAGCAAAAAGACGGGCGGCCGCGAGCGGAGGCGAGGACGCGGAGAAACGGGGGCGCGCACGCAACGCCGGTGGGAACACGGACGCCACTGCGCCGCGGAGACCAGCCTGGCGGCCCCTCAAGGAGCTACACGTGGATTTTACTGCAAGATGCAGCAATTCCCCTCCTACGTATCTGCCCCAGAGCACTGAACACGTGTGTCCACACAAACGCTCGTACCAGAATGACCGCAGCGGCTCTCTTTACGACAGCCAGAAAGTAGGGAAAACCGCGATGTCCATCACCCTGTGAACCGGTGCGGTGTATCCATGCGATGCAGTTGTATCAAGACACGGAGAGCAAGGAAGCACTGACACCTGTTACAACGTGGATGAGCCTTGGAATCGCTGCGCAGAGCAAAGGAAGCCAGGCACGGCAAACCACGCACTGCGTGGCTCCACGCCCACGGAATGTCCCAAGTAGGCAGGTCCGTAGAGAGAGAAGCGGATGGAGCGGGACGAGAGGTGGAAAGGATTGGGAGGTAAGGGACTTCTCCAGCGGGAGGGAGAGACGTCCTGGAATTAGGTAGCGGTGGTGGTTGCGCACGGTGAGTGCAGTATAATGAAATCACTGTATTGGACACTCTAAAAGGGTGAATTTTACGAATTAAATGTGTCACAATATTTCAATTATGTTAACAATGAGGTGCTAAGTATTAGGAAGTCTGCCCACGAGGTCAAGGTATGCAAACTCATTTTATCGTGACTGAAAGGTAACTAAATGTCGTCACACAACGCGGCATCAACAACCATGCATCTGCTTACTGTCAACTAACATAACTGATTATTATTCATCTTATAATAATCATGTGCTAAACCTACGGGGCAGAAAAGGCACACATGAAGAACTTGTCCTTTTTCCCATCAATAATTTCTGGTAGTTGTTAACTACAGAGAATACAAGCAGGCCACATTAGTAATTGACTTAGTTCTTGTACATGCTTCGCAGTCCGACTGTCTTTGGAAATCTCATAGTCTGTTTGGTTTTGTGGTGACCTCAGAATGTGCCGAATTAAGCAGTAAGCATTTAAAAATACCAAACAGAATTATCAAATACATTATGAAAAAAATGTTGAACGATGAATTTTGTCTCAAATAGAAAAAAAGCCCCCCATAAAAGTGAAGGAATGCAAGCAGCCCTCGACAACCAGCAGAGGGATAACCAGAGTCCACAGGGCTGACCTTGAAATACACAGGGGTGGGCAAAAGGAGGCGTGCAGTTGTTCACATGGAAAATGATACAGTAACCCATCAACGACAATACAAGCGCAGACTCTGTGTTCTGCGTTCTCACAGCTTGTAACCCTACTCTCGCCCGCCCTGTATGTATGCAGGGTCAAGTCCACGCCAGCTTCCCTGGAGGGGAGGCAGAACGCAAGCCGCGGACAGAAAAGAAGTCCCAGATCCCAGGAACAACTGTTTCCGAGCAATTAACGTCAAAGCCTGTTCTGCTTACGTTCCTTGATCCTCAAGGATAAAAGAAAGAATTATTCTTGCGGTCACCCACAAAGAGCAAAAAGCAAGGGTGACGGCGGACCCCTCCGCAGCGACATTAATCACGAGAGGACAGGGAGCCGACGCCTGCAGAGTTCTAGAGAAAACAGGTCCCAGGAAAACACTCTGCCTCCCGAGTTGTCATCCACGTATCACAGAGGCAACGAACGTTCTCGGGCCTGAAGGAAACCGAGGAAGGGGCAAGCCGAGTCCTTCCGGGAAAATCCACATGCCCACGAAACCGAGCAGGAAATCCAAAGGAAAAACTCAGGGACGGAGAAGCGCAGGAACTGCGCTCCCCGTGCCAAGGTCCACGCTTGGAGAGTGAGGCGCAGCGCCACGCCCAGGGGCTTGGGGTCAGAGACAGGGACGGGAGCACCACGGGCTGGGCCGAGGTCAAGACAGGGAGGGGATGAAAGCCAGGAAGAGGCCGGGAGGTCCGCAAGCTAATTCCTTCACTTCTCATTACAAAGAGTCAAGTGGAATAGGAATTTACCACACGAAACAGTCGTTTCTTAACCGATTCCTAACCACTTAGTGGTTTTCATAACCTCTTTTTTCTTAATGTTAGGGGGTTTTGTTAGGAACTGCTCTCTCTCTTATCGTTTAGTTTTTTTCCCTTCAGCTTCTTCTTCCTCTGATACATCTGAATGAAACGAAATATAATCATTTTAATGCCATAGATAGTATATGATCCTATCCTCCTAAAAAATGCCTTTTTTGCCCTGGCTGGTGTAGCTCAGTGAGCGCCGACCTGCTGAACTGAAAGGCTGCAGGTTCAATTCCCAGTCAGGGCACCTGCCTGGGTTGCGGGCCAGGTCCCCAGCTGGGAGTGAGAGGCCGCTGATCCTCCCTCCCTCCCTCCCTATGTTTCTCTCCCTCTTTCTCCCTCCCTTCTCCTCTCTCTAAAAATACATAAATATTTTTTTAATTCTTTCTTTCTCTGTGTGTCATCTGTCTACTGACCCACCCACTCTCTCTGAAGAGGGGTACAGAGAAGCGCCCAGGACCCGGTGGTGGGGGGCGGGGGAGGGCAGAACCGGCTTCCCTTCTTGCACTGCTCTATTGGTTGAATGTTTAGTAGTGAACGCATGTAACGTTCACGCGATAAAATGCAGCCATTCATTTGAAAACATCCAAGCTAGGCCGGAAAAATGCTAACAGAAACACGGAAGAACAATACTGGGATCAGACAAAAACGGGATGAAGACCAACAAGTTACAAGGAACAAAGAGGCATCTTTCATGTTGATTTCAGGTCCAGCTCACCAAGGAAACATAATCTTAATGGCCACTCCACCTAACAACACAGCTTTGACGTATTCGAAGCAAAAACAGACAGAACGCCATGAAAATCGGGTGAAAACCAAGCATATTGGCAGACAGATGTGAACACGCCTACCTCCGAAATCAGCCTTTGTGGAGGTGACAAAACTGAGTGAGAATGCGTATTATTTAAATAACACAATTAATAAACCTGACCGAATAGACATATACAGAATTTTGTGTGGAGTAAACAGAATATACATTTTTTTTTTCAAATACACCAAACATGCTAAGAAATAGGAATGTTCGTTAGGTTAAGAAATCTCAACCGATTTCCCCACTCCGCCCCCCCAAAAAATCCACACAAAAGCAAAACAAACACCAGCGGGCACACAGACCACACTCACTGACCATCAGAAGACACTCACAACACAAGCATCCGTTGTCCGAGCTCTCCGGGAAGCGCCGCGGTCCCAGGAAGGAACACAGCCCGGGGTGTCAGACCATCGGTTCAAACTCCGGTCGGGGCTCTCACCACAGTTTTGTAACTCTGGAAAGGCCCTTAGCCTCCCTAAGCCTCAGTTCCCTCATTGCAAAGCTGGAATAAGACAAGACTCTTCCCCCGTGGGTTTTGCAAAAATTAAACTCAAGAACTGTGAGTGCCTGCCTTGAGGAAGCCTGTTAACTAAGTCTCTCCAAAAAGTGGGGATGCAAAAGATCATGGCTGATATCAATGGACAAATCCAGGGCAGGAAACTGAGGCACGGAGGGGGGGCAACTCAGAGTGTAGCCACCACATCTTGATGCACTCCCCCCACCCACTTTCTAGATTCTCTGCCTGTCCCCCACGCGCTCTTACCGTGACAGCTCACGCAGGCCGTGCAGTGGCCGTCACTGTCCAGGTAGTGGTCCTGCGGACACTGCTTCTTGCAGTCGGATGACGCCTGCGGACAATGCTTCTGCGGGGACAGCCCTGGGAAAGGAAGCAGAGACGCTGCAGGCCAGGCCACCTTGGCAAACTCCAAGGGGCCACCACCTCCACTTCTCATCCCTGAAGCCCTTCCCAGCAACACCCCTGAACCCCAAACACGTCGTCGGTGCAACTCTCGTGTTATAGGCAGAGGCACTGATGCCTGAGGTGGCCTGGCAGGCAGCGGAAGCAGCGTGGCGTGGGGAGGAGAGCTGGGCTGGGGTTCCAGGGCTGCCGCAGGCCAACTGGGCAGCCTTGGGCAAGTGACCAAGGCCTCGAGGACACTAGTAAGTTGACAAAAGGATGCGCGGCCCAGGGCTGTCGAAAGGAGGAAAGAGGTTGCGAAGACAGCGGTCCTGGGCACACGGCAAGCGCTGCTCATTCCTGCGGTCCTGCTGGGCGGTAAGAACTGGGGAGCCCTGGGCCCTAGCCTTTGAGGGCCCTAGTCCAATTTGACAGAGAGGATCACAGATCACCCGGCTGCTCCTGAATCCCACTGTATAGGACTGGGGCGGGGAGAGGCACGATGCTGAGACCAAATTCCTGGGCCAAACAGGTAGGAGGCGCCCTGCTAGTCTACAGGGCGTTCACATGTTCCAGCCCCGCTCTGCGTCCGCCTCCCACCAGCGGCTTCCAAACGAGCACGTGACCCAGGCAGGCCAATCAGAGTACTTCAACACTCTGATGCGGGAAGCAGGGCTGATTGGGTCATGAGGGCCATGATCCATGCTAGCTAATGAACCCCATCACTGAAAGTTTTGCAAAAACTTCCAGGAAGAGCCTCTCTCGACTGTCGGATCCCCCGTTGAAAGGGCGGTTTGGAGCCCTGGCTGGCGTAGCTCAGTGGATTGAGCGCGGGCTGGAAACCAAAGTGTCCCAGGTTTGATTCCCAGTCAGGGTACATGCCTGGGTTGCAGGCCATAACCCCCAGCAACCGCACATTGATGTTTCTCTCTCTCTCTCTCTATCTCCCTCCCTTCCCTCTCTAAAAATAAATAAAAATAAAATATTAAAAAAAAGAAACTATTAACATAAATAAATGCATTTAAAAAAAAGAAAAAGAAAGGGCTGTTTGGGCCCAGAGCTGCCCTGTCACGGCCGCTGCAGTGTGGGCAGGGTCTCCCTGGGAAGGAGGTGACTCAGGCCAGCCGAGGCCCCAGACGCAGAGCAATGGGCTCCTGATGAGATCGTTCAAACCCGAATTTATGGCGCCATGGATTTTTCCATTACTGGGCCAATTATGTCTCCTGTGGCTTGTTTGGGTCTGAGTGAGTTAAGGTTCTGCTAGTGACAACCGAAAGACTGTAGACCAGACGTTTTCAACATTTCTGTGCCCGCCCCGAGGCATTCTGGGGAAGCCTGTGGATGCTGCTGAGAAAGAGGTTTTTAAATGCAATAATAATAATAATAATAATAATAATGTAAAATTCAAGGCTCGGAGTAACTTATTTGGTGGGGGATCTTTCTTCCCCACTCAACTCCCGTTCCCAGAGCACCACCTGGGCGGCGCTCGCACTGATCCTGAGATTGAGGAAGATGAGAACCCAGTCCCATGGAGCATGCACTCTCGCCTGGGTTACAGAGAAGCCCATAGAGGAAGGAATTAGCAAGCTGGTTTCCAATGTGGATACAACTCTGAAGAAAATAAAGGAGCCGCGGGGAGTGGAAAGTAAGCCCTGCAGAGCATGGTCCAGCGGCCTCGGCCCCCCGGAGGCTGGAGGGTGGAGCCTTCTGGGCAGAGGGCAACGTCAGTGCAGAGGCCTGGGGAGGAGCAGGCTTGGCTTGTGCAGAGACTAGAAAGGCCACAGGGGCTGGAGCAGAGGGAGCAAAAGAGTTAGGAGTGTTTGCTCATTTCTCTTTTCTTCCTTTCCCATTTTCCACAGAGATCTTCACCCCTGGGCATCACTTGCATCATCAGGAGCAAAAATGGTGCAGAGGGGCTCCCGAGTGGCGGCGGGCTTATCCAACCGGCAACCTTTCACTTTGGAGGACGATGTCCAACCAACTGAGCGGCACCAGTCAGGGCTCCCTGTGGCTCAGCTTCGAGGTGGTTAGGCAACCCAGCCCCAGCAGCTCTGGCCCCAGAAACTCCCCTGAGTCTGGGCCGCCCGCTCCCACACTGTCCCCTCCCCACCCCCCTTCAGCCCTGTGCTTCCACCACTTGGAGCCACGCCCAGTCCTTGAGTGGCTCATCACTCCAGGTCTTAGCATCTTCTGCGCCTCTGACCAAAGCACACCGCCTCCCCGACCTTGGCCTGGCACCGTCCTGCTCATCCTGAGGTCTCCTTGAAATGCCAACTCCTCAAGGAAGCCCCCCTGTGCGCTCCAGCCAGCTCAGGTCCCCCCAGGCATGTGTTCCCACGGTCCCCAGCAGCACTGCCCTTGGGTCTGACAGCCCATTGCAACAGACAGATTTGGGAAGGGCTTCCCAGCCCACGGGCTGCGGTTCCTGGGGAACGGCCCCCCTCCCAGCTCCCCCCCCCCCCAGCAGTGGTCCAAGGCAGTCCTGGCTTTGGGGAACCAGAGCAGAGGTAAACATCTGGACTTATCTGGGCCACCAGGTGCTTTCTCCTTGGCTTTGGAATTGGGGCTGAAAGATGTTTGTCTGATGATTCTCCTGCTTCCCTGAAGAACTGCAGATATGGAGGGGAAGTGCAGGCCGGCCGAGCTTGGCCAAGGGCAGGCAGGGCAGGAGGGCCTCCTCCTCCGCCTCCATCCTGCTCACAGCCCTTGGAGACACCCTGGGCTCCGGACACTGGGTGGGATGCACTCACTTGGCCCCAAACAAACCACGCTGTCCATTGAACATCCGGCCTGGCTTCACAGGGTCCCCCCACACCTGCGTGGGCCTCCCATCTCTGCAGGGAGGCCCCACCCTGTGGACAGTGAGTCTGGGCACAAGCGGGAGGGTGGTCCGAGAAGCAGGGCACAGAACAGCGAGGGGCTTGGGTCCCCCTCTGGGACACTCTGCTGCCTCTCGAACGCAGCGCCTCGGGGGTCAGCACCAGACAGGTCTGAGGAGCTGCAGCTCCGAGTTAGACGGCCACGTTTGAGCCCCACCTGAGCCACGTCCTAGCACGTGACTATGGACAAATCCCTGAACCTCACTATGTCCTCGTTCCCTTTCTGGGTTTCCTATCCGGTTCAGGGAGCTACTGTGTAGGTAAAGGTCTCAGCACCGTGGCTGGCACAGAGCATGCTCATCAATGTAAATCATTGCCAGTGCTGGGAAGCAGTGAGTGAGCTCCCCATCACTGAGGGTGTGTAAGCAGAGAATCAGCTGCCGAGGATGCTCAGATGGGCATTGGAGGCCTGGGGCAGAGGAGGGCTTCGATGACATCTACACATCTCAGTTTCAAAGGTCTCCCTGTTTCCTTCCTTCACCAACCCCCGCCCCCGCGCAAACCCTGCCGCACAGCTGAGCGCTGATTGCAGAGGGCGGGCAAAATGTCAGAAATTTCCCCAAGAGACCGAGGAAGGGGTTTTTGCGGGTTTTTGGTTTTTCCTCCCTTGCCTGCCCGGAAGCACAGGGTCAATAAAACTCCACCAAAATGCCCCGCCCACAAGAAGTGCTCAGCCACTGCCAGGCACTAGGCCCCGGAGAAGCAGCGTGGCAGACCGGGGGAGCCCCTCCTCCTGAGGCACAGTGTCTACGTGAAGGGAGCCTGGGCCCGGGGTGTGACCCCCTCTGTCCAGGCCCCACCAGGGTGGGGTCAGGGGGCTGCAGGGCGTGGGAGGGATCTGAGGAGACGGCAGGAGGGCCAGCCAGGCGGCCAAGTTAGTGAGTGGGTGACAGCGTGGGTGGGTGGACAGGCAGGTACGTGGGTGGCTGGCTGGCAGGCACTGAGGTCCCTAAACAAAAATATACAGGGACCCACACGATATCTACTTCAAGGCCAACACTAACCCGCAAAACAAACACCAGAAAGGCTAATACAGTTCTACTCTTTCTCCTACGATGACTCCTCCAAACAACTTTGGAAACAGAAAACACCAAACTCCCAGGGTGTCTCTCTCGGTCCTTTGTTGGCCTGAGCACAGGCTCTGTCGGCCCTCATGGTGTAAGAGCGGCTTGACCGGAACTCCTGCCCAGCAACGGCCATGGGCCCTGAATGTGCATGGTGGCCCCCAGGCAGACAGCAAAGCTGAGGCCAAGGGGATGGGCACCCAGGCAGTCGGGGGTGTAGACAGCCCAGACTCTGGGGCCACGGGGCCCTGGGCTCCAGCCCCAGCCAGTTCTGCCATTTCCCAGCTCGTGACCTTGGGCAACTTACTTAACCTTACAGCACCCCAAAAGCCTCATCTGCAAAATGGGAATAACAAAGGACAACCGTGAGCACCTGCCGAGACAATGCGGTGCCTGGGAAGGTCTCGGGTTAGTGCACGTACAGTGCCTGTTCCATAAGGGGCAGTTATTAATTTAAAACAACTCGCAGCGGGGTGGCCTTCAGAACCTTTAGTCAACACGACGGTGGTGATGCTGGCTCCCCAACCCCACCTTTGCCCCAGCCCCAGCACCCCCACTCACCCACAGGGCAGCGGAAACAGCACCTCCTAGCAGCCACATCATAGTAGAGGCTGAGGTTTCCAGCACAGGCGTCCGTGGGGGCTTGACCCTGGAAGGTAGGACAAACTGGTGAGGCCCAGTGGGCCCCAGGCACCCACCCTCCCTCCAGCCCCCCCAGGTCCCAGGAGGCCGGGTCTCAAACTCAGGCCTGAGCCCAAGCCTCACGGTCCAGAAGAGAAATCAGAATGGAGACATGTGCACAGAATGGAAACCTGATTTTACGTCTCCTTGAACTGGCTCCAGCCCTCCACAACCCAGGCCAAACACCTTGGAGGCTCCCTGGCTCTCTCCTTTGCTCATGCTCACATCCAACCCATCAGAGAAGTCCTCCCAGCCCCTGGGCCCACTCCCCTGCCTGGTCCCAGCCCCACCCCCGCTCCCCTGGATTAATTCAGTTGCCTCCCACCTGCTGAATTAATCTGGCACAGGTCCACACGAGAATTTCTGCTAGACGTGTGTGTTAGGTTCCATGTTGGTACATGGTGCGAAGTAGGGCCAAGACTCACTTTTTGCAGGAATATGCGTTTTTCACGCGCATGTTTCCAGGGCTCTTTGAAAACTAAGACCCCCTTTGCAGGAGGGGGTTTGAGAGAGGGAAGTCTCAGCTGAGACCCTCCAGAAGAAGGTTGGTCCTTCCTGGTAGAACCAAAGGGGGCCACACAGCAGGTTTCTGGGCAGGCCCATAACAAGAGCTCCAGGGAGGGAGAGTGGGGGGAGGGGAAGAGGGGGGCTGCCCAACCCCGCCCCCAGCCTATAGCCACCCAGGTGGTGTCTGACAGGCAGGCCGTGGCTACTTATGGGATACATGGAGTGAGGCTTTCTTAGTTTGAGGGAGAGAGCAGAGCCATTTACCACCCCCCAACATACCCCACCCTGGTGGCAGCCTGTCTGGTCTAAGGGGCTTCTCTGCACTTCTCCCCACTCGAGGGAACAGGGGAAATTAACGCTTTTCTGTAATGGACAGAGAGCCCCAAGGAGGCCTGCATGGCCGGGACGGGGTGGATGCACGGCGTGTGCACTCTTTCTGTGCACACCTGAAACGTCACCGTATAAATCTGAAATAGTAGATACAACCTGACATTTGCACACCACCGGTCACGTGGCACTGCCCTCGCCCACGCACGCCCAGCCTCCTCCCTCCAGCAGGAGCTCCTTCTTCCGAAGCACACTGGGGGCCCCTGGGGGCCTCTCCAGGAGCGGTGCCCCGCCCGGCAGCCCCGTCCTCCCTGGCCCGAGGCATCTCGCCAAGCGAGCCTGGAAGGCTATGGGTTGAGGGGACTGGGGGTATGAGGGTTCAGCCCTGCTGGGCCTGCTGAGTGTGGGGAAATTTCTGGGCTGCTGGCCTGGGTTTTCCCCCTCTGGCCTGCCTGCTCATCTCCTTGACTGCGATGGACTCCCCAGGGCCCAGGGGACACACGAGGGGAGGCTGGCTGCCTGCCCTTCTCCTCCTGCCGCCACGCCCCAGGTCAGCGGAGGGGTGGGGGGTGCAGAGGAGAACAGAGTACCCACGGCACTATGCACCACCACCCCCCTCCCCTCCGGTCACACATCTCCTCCTCTGTGCCAGCCCCAGGCCTGTGGGGCCAGAACCCCAGCCCACGTCACAGGTGAGAGAGCTGTAGCACAGAGAGGTGCAGACACCTGCTCAAGGTCAACAGCAACTACGTGCAGAGAGGACATTGGAGCCTCACTGTGTCTCCAGTTCTCTCCCCGTCTCTGGGTCCCATATTCAAAATAACGTTCTGAGAAAGACTAACTCTATTTGTGGTCTTTCTACCAAAACGCCATAATCTGAACCGAATCATAAAGAAACATCAGATAAAGCCCCCCCGGGGGGCCCTTCTACAAAACAACTGGCCTGGGCTCTTTAAAAATGCCAGTGCGTGAAAGATGAAGAAGAGCTTTGGAATGTTCTAGAATAAAGGGGACTGAAGAGACAGGAGGTCTGAATGCGAGGCCCGACTGGACCCTGGATGGAGGTGGAAGGCGGGTATTGCTGTAAAGGAGAACACTGAGATGCTGGTGAAATCGGAATGTGGGCTTTAGATCTGATTATGTCCTACTGATGTTGAACTCCTGCAGCTGATAACTCGATGTCAGAGATGCCCTCGCTGGAGAAGAATCACGCTGAAGTGTTTACAGATGAAGGATCGAAATGCCTGCAACTAACTTGGAAATGGATCAGTAAAACAAAACGGAAGTAATACTAATGTGTGCATACAAAAAGAGAGAGAAATAAAGGCAATTGGGCAAAACCTCGCAGCACCTCCGACAGGAGACAGCGGCTCGACAGTCCGTGTATGTCCATGGCTGGCCACCAGGGGGCGCCGTCTTCCTGCTGTGGGGAGGGGCTTGGGTTCTCAGCCTGGATGTCTGGCTGTAGCCCATCAGAGCCCCACCAGGGGCGGGTAGTAGAGGACTGGGGGGTCTCCGTTTCCACATGGGGCTTATGCGGGAAGTGGCTGGTCCCCTAATCTGATGGAAGTGCTGGACCCCAGCTCCCCAGAATTCCCAGAGATATAGGTGGGATCCAGGTGGGGGTACCACTCCGCCTCACCCCCCCTACTCCCAGCACCCACCCAGAGGCCCCCAGGCAGCTGTGGCTGGCCTTCTCTGTCAGAGACACCGGGGAATTTTTTTTGCCTATGATGTCATCCATTTACAGGCACCCAGAAAATGGGGTCAATGCAATGTGCACGTGGTGTAGGAGACACGACAGCTGGTGTTGACCCGCAGCCCCACGAGGCCCTATTGTCACGGAAGCTAATCTTGGGGGCGGGTGGAAGACCAGCCCACAGTCACGCTGTGTGCCGGGTCAGGATCTGAGTCCAGGGCAGCTGACTCTTGACTGCTACAGGAGTTCACCAAGCACCTACTGTGTGCCAGAGAGCTGAACGGGCCCCGAATGCCCTCCAGGAACGTCGCTGCCGTGGGGGAGGCCACCGCACCCGCCCAGGGCCTTCCCAGCCCATAAGTAGAAAGAGGTGGCATCAGGGGACCGGAGCTTCCTCCTTGCAGCACTGTATGTGACCCCCCAAAGCTGGCCCAGTCTGATGCCCCAGGCACGGCCCTCGCCCCACACCGCCCCCTTTGTCTCTCTCTCTGCCACCTCTCCCATTGTCCCACTGTCCCCCACTGTCCCCCACTGCCCACTCACATGGGCCCTTCACCTCCCCACCTCCCCAGCTCCTGGCAGAGAAGGCAGCCACAGCCTCAGCACCTACAGCCACGCCGGGAGGTCTGACCTCCTGAAGTTCAGGGACCCCACCAACTTCCACTGACCACAGGCCCAGACCCGGGGTGGGCCATCAAGTCCTGGTGCCCCTGAGGAAGGGGGAGGCAGCGCTGGGCTGCCCTCTGGCCATGGCCTGGGAGGGACGGGGGATCCAAATGGGGAGAGTGGGAGGGGGAAGCCCGAGGGCCGGAAGGGGGGCTTTTGGGTGGGGTTCCCCAGCAGGTTCAAGGCGGGACGCAGCGTCCGCGGGGTTACGAGCTGTGCAGCCCAAGGCCTGCGGCCCAGCCTTCGTGGCATCGAGATAAAGAGAGAGTGGCCTGAAACCTTCCCATGTGTAGGCCTGTCTGTTTTCAGGTTGGTGTGGCGTTCCCTACAAAACCCGGTAAAGGTCACCTTCAGAAAGCCCCGCCTGGTCTCCGCTGCAGAAGAGAGCTGGGCCACACACACAGGAGCTGAGAGTCTAGAGCTGGGGGAGAGAGGTGAGGTGGGGGTGGGGGTAGGGGGGTGGGAGAGTATGACCAAATACAAAATACACAATGGGGCCAGAGCTGGGCGGAGCTGGGAGGTGCACCCCAGCCCCACTCTGGGGGAACCTCCACCTCTATTACTCAGGCTGAGGTACCTGGGCCAGCAGCACGGGTACCCCTGGGGAACTTGCTCAGAGTGCAGAGTCCCGGTCCCCACCCTACTAAATACCCCATTTTACAGATGGGAAACTAAGGCACCGAGAGGTTAAGAAGCTTGCCTGAGCCCCGAGGCCGAGCAGTGTGAGAGCCGGGATTCAGCCCGGGCCGTCCCACTCGGGCTCTTACCCACGGGGCTCAGCGTCACTGGTCCCGTCTAGCCTCCGGGTCCGCCTTCCAGTCCACCGCTCTCCCGCACCCTCCGCCAGCTGGGCTTGGCAGCGGCCGTGCACGGGTCCCCTCACACTCGCCCTGTGCTCACAGCCCACTCCCAGCACAGACGCCAGAAGTTTCTTTTCCAAACACAGATCTGGGCTCCTCCCCAAGACACTCCGACGGCCTCAACTCAACTATGAACAAAGCCCAAAGTCCCGACAATGGTCTGAGAGACTCTGCCCCCCTGACCCCGGCCCGTCTGGCCCAGGCATCCTCTGGCACCCTCTCCCATCAGCCTTCCTCCCAATGCCACTCACACCCACGCCCTCCCTCCAGCAGTCCTGCACACGCCGGTCCTCTGACCTCCCCAGGCAGCCCCCCGCCCCATGCAGAACACCCCAACTCCTCCTCCTTCAGCCCTCACTTGTGCACGCCACTTCCTCAGGGGCCCCCTGCCTGATCACCCCTGGCCAGGTCAGGTCTCGGCAGGTGAGAACCAAAATGTGGGCAGGGCTGGGTGCTCGCTGGAGCCTCAGGGGAAGATCCATCTCCTCGTGGTTTAGGCCAAGGTGCTGCCTCTTTGCTGCCAACTAAGGTCATTTCCAGCTTCTCGAGGCTGCCACGGGGCTCAGCTCCCATTGCTTGGCTCACGGCCCCCTCGCTCGGCCGGCAAAGCCCGCCGCAGTGGGCCGAGTCCTGCCGTACCTCTGTCTTCCTCCATGTCACCTCTCCCTGACACAGCCGGGAAAGGCTCTCCGCTTGCAAGGACTCCTGTGAGGACAGCGGGTCCACTCGGGTAACCCAGTCTCACCCGCCACCTCCAAGTCCATCCCCTAAATCCCACCTGCAAAGCCCCCTTTGTCATGCAAGGTGACATATCCACAGGTTCCAGGGATTAGGACATGAACAATCTAAGGGGCCGTTATTCTGAGGTCCACAGCCTGGCGTGTTAAGGAACCACGAGGCTGGGCTTTG